TTGCACCTGCGGCCTCCGGTGCTTCAACGGCCTCAGAGATGGGGCCTCTGTAGGGTCCAGGCAAGAAGCCGGAAGGGGTCGGAGGTGGGCTCTTGGAAGTCTCTCGGGCAAAAGGGTCCGAAGCGGGAGGCCCCCCCTCAAAAATTTAGATCGGGGAGGCCTTGGCCCCTGGAACATATATAATAGAGGTGGAGCCAGCCTAACTAGGAGGAAAAACCAAAGAAACAAATGCGATAGAGAAGTATTGAAAACAACTAATGGCCATGTCTACTCTAGGATGGTTTTGTGGAACTCATGAAGGGACACCTCTCGGTAGCCTTTCGTATCAAAAAAAAGAAAGATGCCGACGGGTGTCCCTTCAACTCATAACTGTTGCGTATCTGCTCAAGTGTAGTCGTCTATTTTGTAGCTGTCTTATTTGGTTCGCTGTAACACTAGTACAGTAATATAAAGCAAGAAATAAAAAGAGTATCATCCATAAGACCAGAAGCCCATGAAATACCCCTCCCGATTCGCTCGCAATCCATATTCGAGAAAGACACAGGGAGAGTCGTGACACCTACGTCGTGTAAAACTAAAATCGGCATGTATATTCACCTAAAGATAAAAAGCCTGAGAGAACTACAAGGAAAAAGAAAGGAATTGAACTCTGCACAGATCACATCCTCTAGCTCTGGCTGTCTTCTACTTCTATATCATGTATTACACATACACTGTATTCATATACACAAGTCCAGCACTTATTGTTGTGCTAGAAGGGTGAAACATGGTCCCTTGTGTTTCGTCATGAAGGCAAGGCTAAGGTTTACTACTACGAGAAAAAAACTAACCGGTTGTTTTTAATAAAATGGAGGAGTCTTTTTAGATAGAATCGCGTCATGTGTCCTTTGTGTGCTCCTGATATAATTTCCGACGCAACATTCTCTTTCTTTGTTGTACTAAATGTCGTACGCTATCAACCAAGAAGTACTCAGTTGTATTTTTAATGCTTCAAAATATTACACAACGGGCGAGAATTTGACATCTAACAGAAGCAGCCAAGCATTGTCTGAATCAGTCGACACAAAAGCACTAGTCAGAAAATCAAATTTTTATATATTAGGCAGAAAATTAATCAGTATGATTATCAGTCAGAAGATTGGCATGATTAATCAACACTAGACTATGATTAAGCAATCCCACGACCACCTAGTTAGAAGATTATATTATATATTTTATATATATAACCATGTATCAGGACGAAATCTTAATCTTGCTCATGCTCCAATGAGAGCCCCTCACTTCGCCCAGCTTCCCTCAACGCGCGCTTTCCTAACTCGCGTGCAAAATCGCCGTCGTCGTGCTGTGGCTCCTTGTCCACAGTGGAGGTAAGAGGGCCTGAGTATGGAAGCAGGGCAAAAGAACAGTTCACTTCCTCTGAAAAAGCATCTTTCTCATTCTCACGTGAGTCCTACTAAACACTCACTAACTCATTCACTCGAACCACGTAGCAGCTCCAAGTAACTGCCTGGTTCTGTTACGACCCGAATAGAGACACGGCAGTTACAAAAGACCGACTGCTTAACGACGTGAGTAACACATGAATACTAGATCATGTACTTAATCCATTCAAGAACAAACTGGGAAAGATCACTCCACAACCTCGTCTAGCAGGATGTAATAAATCTTTTATTGCCACCAGCTCCTCTTGCCTGCTCGAGAACAGATGCAGTATGTCCATTCGCGTTGGCCTGAGCCTCTGGTTTGGCCTGGCTTTGTGCCTTTACTCCGGTATCTTTCGCAGGATCCTGGACAACCGCAGCAGGAGTAGGACTAGTATCTGAATCAATAAATGTATGAAAGTTTTTAAATGAAGCATTTCAAAATTTACTCCCTAAAAAAACTCCTTTCAGAAATGCAAATGAATCCTTGCTTGTCCTACGCAATAACTACGTCATCATGAAGAATTGGAATTGAAATTTTTGCTTGAGCCCCTACTCCGGTTAATGCGTCCAACGGTACCTTTCGCAGGACTCTGGACAACCTCAGGTTAGAGTGAACTTGATAAAAGCATCTCGTTGATGCTCCCTTACTATTACTTATTATGTTCGCGCGCCACCCTATGGCCGCTAGTACCCTTCGTTTCAGTACAATAACACAGTATGAGGAAATTAATTGGAAGCATCACAACATCGAAACCGATGACCTAGGCAAGACAGACCATCGTTTCAGTACAACAATAAATATTTATAAGTATTTCCCTTAAAGTATTTCAACATGTGAGCGGAAGCAAAGAAAAGAATGCGACCAAGACTGAGATGCTGCGAGAGATTTGTATAAAAAGTCACCATAATGATCTGGATTTGCATTCTCTGTTCCTGCCTTCACTTTAGCTTCCCCACCCTCTGACTGTGCATCACCTCCATCCCCTGCCCCCTTTGTTCCTTTAGAAGATGCCTCTTCACGATCCTTTGACTTTGCATCACCTCCACCCCCTGCCCCCTTTGTTCCTCCAGGTGCTTGTTCTTTACGATCGTCTGACTGTGCATCACCTCCATGCCCTGCCTTCTCGTCCTCTGTTCCTCCAGGTGGCATTATTTTACGATCCTTTAACTGTGCATCACCTCCATGCCCTGCGTCCACTGGTCGGTCAGGTGGCTCTATTTCGCCATCCTGTGGCTTTGCATTAGCATCACCTGCCTCTTCTGATGTTTTACCATCTTTAGAGCTCACCCTGAAGAAGGACTACGCTATTTTTAATGAGATGCCTCCCAGTCCGAAGACGATCTCTAGACGCTTACTTCCTGTTATCTCTTCTCCTAGTGCAGAGAATACCCAGCTAGCTATGACTGAGATGATGCTTCCGATGAATCTGAAGATGACTGAGATGAATGTTCATGTGTGCGTTCCTGACGCCATTGTTCAGAATGACTGAGAAGAAGAATCTTAGATGGACCATCGATTTTTACTGAGATGAATTAGCATTCGGAGTAGAAGTAGCCTTAACATTTTCTTCATCAGCATCTCTTTCCTCGTCCGGAAGTTCCACCGTTTTCCCGGAACCACACGAAGTACAGAAAGAGCTACCTGCTTTGTCCTCTGACGCCGCATGATCACCAGAACTACCTTGCTGCTTCCGCGCCTCGCACTCCACCGTTCCCCAACAGTTCAGCACAAAAGTTAGAGCTTATATTATCAACCAATTCTTTAGCACGACTTCCCTGAGTCTCTTCTGTCTTCTACGAATTTCTCTGATGTTGAAGTTGTGAAGTCTGTGCAATTTTTGCAAGTACGTAGTTACTAGGGATACTTTTTCTTCCTGCGATATGAAACACATTAACAGGTCGTGCCTTGCTTCTATGCAAGCTGCAGGTCGAAGATAACCAGAGCCAACATGACAAACAAAAATTTCTAGCAACGTGACATTTCATTCATCTGCTCCACCCTGATCTCTTATTTTTTTTTGTATCCCAAGACCGCTGAAAGGGTGATCCTAGTTTTATCCAGTTCGCAACATGCCTTAATAGAAAAGAAATGCTCGTTAAGAAGAACATACTCAAACGTTGAAGTTTCACCGAAGCAGTCCAAGAAGTAGAAGGCGAACTAAGGCTCTTCGTGGGATGTACTATTTTCTTCCACCTGCTTTCTTTCCCAACGCCACTGCTCCGCGAAGCACAGACGTCTTCCGCTTTACCATTTTTAGTCTCGTAGACGTAGCTATTAGAGGTCCCCTCATAATTGCGTTCTTCAGAGCATCCCTGAGGACCTCTTTCTTAGTCGCGATGAAAGAGTCAGGGACGTTCTGAAAAATGCTATGAGGGGACCTCTAATAAATACGTCTACTCTCCCCTCATTGCGTTCTTCAGCCATCCCTGAGGACCTCTTTCTTAGTCGCGATGAAAGAGTCAGGGATATTAGTGCAGGATGCAATCTGAAAAGACTTAAAGTTACTTCTTCTCTCAAGTAGTACTACTCGTTGTAGTACTACTCGTTGTAGTTTCTCGCGTTGAAGAGACGACATGTTGCCGTTCCTTGCACTCAGCTCACGCTGTAAGAGAGTTCAGGGAGGAGCTTGGTGATGACGGCGACGTATCATATGAAAAAAAAAGTAAATCTAAATGAAGATTCTCTTTCTCACTCTACACGCAAATTGCAATTATTGATCTTGAATGAACATTCATTCATCCAGGGCTATCTTTCGTAAACTTTTTTTTTTTGTTACCTGTGTCTACAGTTTCCCGCTATAATTCCATTTAATTACCCAACGGGAAGCCTGAAGCACGACGGCCAGGCACTAAAACTACACAAACGGTTAAGCACGAGGTTTGTAGGAGGTCTTCGAGTAACTACAACTGCTAGGACGAGGTAGAGAATGTTGATGTTCTTAGAAGTCCTATTCCAATTCTCAAAGCGGTACAGAGTGATAGTCCTATTCCAATTCTCAAAGAGGTACTACCTGAGCTGCAGGTGGCACTGCCGAGCAGCGTATAGATGCGCGCTCCTAGCCGCAATGAACCCTCATTTTTTCAGTCTGCGACCATGACATTGAGAAATTTTTGTAATTGATGAATCATGAATCACTGAGAATTCCCTCATTCGTGTCCTCAATCAAGAGAGAGGATTAGTGAATCAAAAGCGAGGATAATTAGTGACTGTTCTTCTTCTTGAGAACAAATTCACATTCATTGAGAAAATTTTATGCTTGAAGAATAGTACTGTATTCATGGAGATGAACTCCCTTGCAATGGTGGAGACCCTCGAAACAAATACTAATAATTCTCGAATAAACAAGTACTTCTTGTTGAAGGTGCCGCTCGCCCCTCTCCTCCTATCTCTCTTCTCCTATCTCTCGGTCAAGAAACTGTAGAAGTACTCTCATATTTAAATTGATCATCGTAATGTCGTAATGTCGTAATCTCGTGACTCTCGGTATTGATCGTGCCTCAGTAGAAGGCTCCACAGCATTGAGAAGAAGTGCTTTCCGCGTTACAACGAACTACCGTGTCGTGTGCTGTAGTCCGTGTCCGTCATCCTTTCTTCAGTCATCCAAGGAGAGGTGCGCCGTTCACAAACATTCTATACACAGATTTATATTCATTTTCAGTACTTTGCCTTGTTCAACTACTCCTTCCATCGGAGCAGTAGTAAGTTTTCTCCAGAAGTAGATAAAAGGCGGTCTTTCTCTTCAGCAAGAATGACGCTCGACGCTTGGCGTCAAGCATAAGCTCATCATCAATCATGGTAATGACTGCGACATCAATGTCTAGCAAACTGGGATGAATCATGCTTCAAGAGGATCATTTTGCGTACATCATAGTAGAGTACTTTCCAGTAAAGGCGCAGTGATCTACTACTTCTAGTTCGAAGTAGTCGGCTGCATTGAGTACTAGTAGCAGTGGGAATCAAGTACTTCTATCGTTTTTGATTAAGATCAACATTTAGTAATATCCCTCTTGATTACGATCATTATCCTTGAATGCTATTCACTCATTGTCTCTGTCGTAGACCTATCAACATCAGGAAGTTGAATTGAATTTGAATCAAGTCTAGAAGCACAACTACTTTTGTCCAGTAGTACGTCATCTTGCCTTAATACTTTACTTCCAACTTCACGAAAGCTCACCAGGATCAAGCAGTCTGGTGACTGCTACAATTCTGTTCTGATATTCCACTTTAGTCTGTTCATATTACATTTTTTGTTTCGATTTACTTTTCTATCTTCTGTATGTTGTAGTAGATGTCGAAATAATAATCTGTTCAGAGAAGGAGAGAACTTCTATCTATTTTTAGCTTGTTCTGTGAAGATAGAAGTCTTGTTCATAGAAGACACATATATTTATATAATTCATAGTAGACGTAGACATAGTTAGATGGTAACAAGAAATAAGATCATACTTACTAGTGATCAAATTTGTTCGATAAACAAAAATGAACGTCGCAGTTAGAATTTTTAGTAGAGGAGGACTAAGTATAAAAAGTATATAACTAGTTGTAGTTGTAGTTTTGCAGTCATCAAATTTAGGTTGTATTCAGTTGTCCTCATAGACCTAAAGTCAACAAAGTGCCGATCGGTACTGTGTTAGCTGACTACTTTTCATACTATGAAGATGCCGTACTTTCTAATTAGTTGTAGATGCATAGTTATCCCTACCCCGGATCTTTAGAATCTCTTAGTTGGCATCTCCCGTTTCTTTGTGCAGTTCCAACACCTCCTTGAGCTGGTACGCTAGTAGTTGCACTTTTTTTCTCCTGTAGTTATTCTCTTTCTAAAAAAGTAGATCTAGATCAATCGTCCAGATCTACAAAACTACTGGATCTACTAACCCAGATCTAGAATTCTATTAGAGCGTGATACCGATATCTAAGATCATGGCTACACCGCCTAGCGTCCACTTTTGCGCCGGTTGCTTCGTGCGCAGTTGCGCAGAAAAGACGAAGTCCGGTCGCCGTTTCGGTGTGCAGTAGGTTGGGCAGATGTACGAATTTTAGAGCTTGAAGCACAGTTGCATTCCCCAGAACCTATAAACCTTGACGTCTTTGTACAGTGAAGAAGTTGTCGTGTCCCCTGGATAGTCCCCTTGTGATTGAATGATTATATTATACTTCTAGAACAAGGGAAGGCTGAGAGAGATTTCTAGTGAAGAAGGGAATGACATAGATATTTTTACTTCATCTAGACTAGATAGATATTTGCTCGAGACTTGTGTTACGTTTTCGTATCTCCTCTCAGGATAGGCTAGGAGCTGGCTCGCCTCGAGGAGGTGAGCATTCACGACTATGAAAACGCCGAAAAATAAGAATTTATAAGGATTTATTGCAGACGAATGCAAAAATCATGCACCAAAAAAAATTATGAGAAAATTCTCATAAGTGTTCTTCTCCTCGCGATCCAATGCGAGGCCTGCTTTGCAGCAAATGACGGGCATCTTGCAGAACATCTCTTTCGGCTTACTCTCCTCTAAGGTGTTCGTCGACGTGTCCCAGCGTGCTCCCTCTAGGAAGAGACAACCTTAGAGACCAGACCTAGAATACTTACACTGGAGGTGAATACTCGTCTGGAAGTGTTGAACTTTACTCTGGAATTCATCTTCTAGGAAAAAGTTGCAGGAGAAACAACATACTTATGAACACTCATCTGGAAGTGTTGAACTTATGCAAGCCATAACCGCTAACGAAGCATCCATCGCGTGCGGCAGCATCCACCTGCTTTGGCTCGCGCTTGGTGACTTCGGTGAAAATATCCAGCTTGTCCAGCTCCAACTGCTGTTGCTGACAGCACAGCTGTTTGATTGCGGTCAGGAAACTACGTGGGGAAGATTAGAAGAACGTATGTGTGTATGTGTGTGCGTATGTGTCCGCCACTGCAGAAGCTAGTAAACCACCAAATACTCCTCCATTGCTGTTCTTAGCTGTTTCCCGTTCGAGGATTCAGTTTGAAACTAGTTCATTTGTGAATATGATGTGCCCAGCCATTCTTGGGTTTATCAAGTCTTCACTCGACCTAGTTCGTACAACGAGCGCAATAGCTCTCAATGCATGACTGCCTAGACTCCTCAAACCAAGCAAGGAAAATGTTAAAAAGGGATGGAAATTGAGCTCTTTTGTTTCTTTCTTCAAGGTGTACATCACTATTTTTATCGTCTACAAGCACTGAAATAGTAAACAAGAGTTGCGATCTTCTTCTTCACAGATTGAGTTTTAACAAGCCTTAATTAAACAGCCTGGAGATATCGACGACCTTCGGGATGGCCAACGGGTCTCCAATCCAGTCGTTTAGCTGCTCGCATCGTTCTTTCAGGTTGCTCAACCAAGCAGCCAGACCACGAGTGGTAGGATACGACAGCTTCATCCAGCGAGGTGCGATGGTTTCCTTGAATAAACTGTCAGCCAAGCTTTCCATCTGTTCGCTCATCTGCAATTCACCTGAATAGGTCGATGATCAAAATAATTGTTTACAAATGTTGAACCCATTCTTGGGTGGATGTGTCATCTTGTGGAGAGCATCTCAAACTTAGATGTAGTAGAGCACCTGAGTCAGCAAGATTAAGATATTAAAATTTAATAGTTGTAATAGTTCTTTACAATCGAACCCACTGGTTAGGAAAATCGATCTTTATAAGTTTCAAGTACTACGACCTCTCAAATCTTCTACATCTACATGATCATCGAAATCTTCATCTTGTTACTACTCACAATTTGGATCAGAATTTTGTTAACTACATCAAATTGAAAATAAACTCCAACTTCATTAGTACTACCCTTAAAACGAGTTGTATGAATAAGCATGTACGTAGACCTTAGAATTTCAAGAAACAATAATAGAAAAGAAAATATAGCAGTACCCTTGAAACCGAGTTGCAATTCTCCCAAGGAACGAGCCATTTCTCCTACGAGAGAGTTCATGTAGGTGCATTCCTGCAGGAAGACAAACTGGTACGGTCCCTTCTCCTCTTCAGACATGCTCTTGCTTGTGTCCTCGACTGCGAACTTGATCCGGGATTAGAGGACGCACTGGAAAGTGTGAGTGTCCTGATTGCATTACTTCAGTATTTGATCCTCATCCTTCCACCAACGCGAGAGAGGAGGGTTACAAAGCGGATGACCTGAGATCAAGTTGTAGGTTACATCTAAATCCTCACGCGTTTTAGGGGCCTCGGTTGACTACTTTTTACTTAATATTTGGTGCTTTTGCTCTCTATCAGACTAGGCTTTTCCTCCACAATATCGATCAAGTAATATACGAACGAACTTCATTCTAGTACACACATTGTTAAAAGTCTTCAAACATAGTTGAAGATACTTCTACGATTGGCATTTATATCCGTGCACTCACTTCCCCGACTCCTTATCTTATCGTTGATGCCATAATCTTTGATCTCTTCGAAGATTTCATTACACATGGTTTCTGCGATTTGGGTGGGTGAAGCGCCAGCCCCCTCTCCTTCAGCAGCGTCGTCTTTCGGTCGCAAATTTTGCAAGGTCTCGAACATGATGTTACACTGAATATTAGAAGAGTACGCCAACGGTTGTTTTCCCGCTCAAAGCACGCCAAAGATGCCTCCTAAGACATCCTCTAACACCCCTAAGACATCATTCTTTTGTTCCCCTTGAAATAAACTTTTGAGATAGTACATTTGAGATAGTACATTAGGAATTAGCCCGCCCCAGGGAGGTGAGCATTCACGACTATGAAAACGCCGAAAAAGGATCTACCGTTATTCATCAAGATTAGGGGAAGCCTTAAGTGTTGTACGGAAACCGATCTCGGCGTTCGGGTGCATACCGTAGAACAAGGGAGATTCTGGCGGCATTCGGTATTAGAAGGAATTTGGGTATTGGCATATCGGCAATCACATATTCAGGTTGTACATAATATATCATGCTGCTTTTTGTTGTAGCTATTTTCTAGACGACTTGTTCATCACCTAAAAGCGTTTGGATTAAACTCAAAAAGGCGATATACTGTAGTAAAACGCAGCATGCATTTAAAGAAGAAAACGAAAACCCACAAAATGCATTCAGCGGAAGATTCAAGAAGAGTAACACCAAAACTACTGAAAACAACACGAACACATGCGCAATAAGTATGTTACATTAGAAGTCTCCTTTCGACCGAGAGTAGTAATGACATTAAGGGGTTCCTACTATGGCAACACATACACAATAATTACGCAGTATGTTTATGTTATTGCTTTCACGTGCGGATAAACACGCACGCAAGCATTCTGTAGAGAAGAACCTGCGAAAGGCTTCATGAACAGCACGTGATAGTGGTTGATATGAGTAGCATCACCTGCTGCCACCGCAAGAGATGACAAGATGATAATCATACTCAACAGTATGGAGAAAAGTATGACAAAGACGACACACGAAATATTTATCATAAGTCTCCAGATGTTCCACCACCTTCTCGTGTGGTGTTCCTGCTGGTGGGGTGAACCAAACCATCTTGTTGTCGCAGTACGGAATGAGTTGCATCTCATCCAAGATCTCATCCCGCATGAAGTACGCGAGGTAGGTAGCGCAGAGCTTACGGTCCATGTCATCCACAATATGTCCGCCATACATAATCTCGCCGAAGATGTACCTGTTGTAAAGTAGTGATGGGAGATGAAGGATGGGAAATGTTCGGCATAGAAAGTAAGATGGGAGATGTTTGTCATAGGAAACAATCTCGCCGAAGGATGGGAGATGTTTGTGTTTAGCTCCTGGGCATTTGTTCATAGATACTCTCATTTGTCAACATCTACACAGACACTGTTATCCTCTTTGATGTTCTACGTTATAATCTCTGGTGCATGTTGTAGTTGGTTCTAGTTCTACCTTATATATAACTGCATCTTCTTTCTCTAAATCGTCGTCATCCTACTTCAGTTTTTCTTCAGGTTCAATCTGTAGTTCGAGAACTAGAACGCTATTAACAAAGCAACAACGCTAACCTGAGATCCTCCCATGGGATCTTTGCAGAAGAAGACCCTTCCAGGTAGTTGTAGAGCACGGAGGCCGAATCGCGCAAATCACCGAGGGATTAGAGGTCGCTATTTATTTGATCCTTATCAGGCGTAGGAGGGGTATTAACATTGCTCTCTTCTTGATCTACTTTATTCTTTGGTGTAAAAGAAATCGTGACATCATTGAGCATGACATCGTTCCCTATGACTAACCTGCAGAGTAACTCATAATCACAGCTCGTAGATCGTTGACAGTGTTGAAAGCAAAACTAACAATTATCGCCAATAGTAAACAATTGTAAACTCAGTGGGTACTATGGTAACTACTATTATTAGTTAACCATGATAGTGGGTATTGTAAACGTTGTAGTACTACTGCTGAATAACGTACTGCTAAAATGTATGCGTTTGGGAAAGAACTATTCTATTAATCCACTTGTCACTGCTGCAATCGTCAAGGAGACATTTTTCTAAGGAGAATATCCACAAAATTTTGCCATAATTCGAGAACGGATACATCATGTTGTACCCCATGGGCCCGAACTTCTTGCGTTCGAGCATGATCGCGTGGAAGTGGCACAATCCGAAGAGAATGGCCTTCACTTTAGTATCACGGTCTTCGAAGTCCAAGGATTAGAGAGTGAAGAAGTCAAAAAAAAAAAATGTCTTCATCCACAACAACAGCAAGAAGATGCTTCTTCAGAGGAAGTCTTCGACAAATTAATACAGTGCTACAATTGAACTTGAACTCTGAATCTGATTCTTTTTCAGCCTTAATCTTTCGAGAAGAGCGCGAAGGCACGTCGCAAGTTGGCCTGCAATCCCTGTGGCGGTTCCTTGGTTAGAAGGGTTCTTCTACTTGGCTGGAAGAGGAAGACATCTTTTCGTTGGACCCCTAAACCCTAAACCCTTGGAAAGCCTCACCGTCTCCAGAGTGGATGCCTCACCGAGTAGTTACTGACTGAAATAAGGGAGGTAGCTTAACATCAAGGCTACTCTTCCTTGTTCAGAAGTATCTCGGTTAATATTCTCGTCTGTTACTCGCGAGTAGGACAAAAGAACTAGGACAGAGTAAGGACAAAAGAACTGTTCTACGCGAGTAGACAAAAGAACTAGGACAGAGTAAGGACAAAAGAACTGTCCTACGCGAGTAGATATTAACCGTCAGTCACAGACGAGAAGGACAAAAGAACTAGGACAAGCCATAAGTTCGTCAACTTAATCGATCGATCCAGGATACCGATGGGAATACCCTTGGACGGATCGGCAGATAGGAAGAGACGGAAGTTGGGGTGCGATCCCTCGATGGCCATGTTGTCCATCTGCTTCTCGAGTTGTCGGCACCAAGAAGGCATCAAGTGCACATTCTGCAACATGACCCAGTGTCCCTCTTTGTGGCCGAGGTCTAGCTTAGCCATAGCAACAACGTCCTGACCCTGGCCCATGGCAACGTTGTGGTAGTTCACGTTGGCCTGATAGAGAAGGTAGTGGTCAGCAGGAAAGGTAGTTCAGAGAAGGTAGTCAATTTTTCGTAGAAGGAGAGAAGTTAGGTAGTTGAGAGAAGGTAGTCAATTTTTCGTAGAAGGAGAGAAGTTGGCCATTCTTTCCACCATCTCCAGTGTACTTTTTAGCATAAAATTGAAGTTCCCAGTACTATGAGAAATCTTCAAAATAATAGTACTGGGAACTTCATTTTCATGCTAATGGGAGATCTACTTTTCCCTAGATTGATCTAGCAGAAAGAATCTCCAAGATAAGATCCTCTATTTTCATCAGCAACACAATGATTTTCATCTGCAGATGATGATGATGATGAGAGGACTAGATTGTAGGTCATAGAGTGCTATACTAACCCCTGCATAAAACCGTTGGAGCCAACCTAACTAGGAAAAGTAATAAAAAGAAAAGCCTGGGATGATGAGAGATGATGAGAGGACTAATTTTTTGTAGGTCATAGTAAACTATTTTTATGCTAACCCCCGCATCTGCCGTAGAAAGAATCTCCAAGAATCCTTTTTCCTCAGGTCAGTAGTAGTAGTAGTGTACCCATTCGTGGGGTAATATATCTTGGTACCAAGAGAAGCTCAGCCATTTCCAACCATTTCCAACTTAGTTCTAATGCATTATGTCTTTTGCAGGTAAATCTACAATTATAAGTACCTGCAGTCCGATGGTCTTTCGACCCATGGCTTCGACCTCCTTCACTGGATCCGCACCCTGCGAGAGAATGAAGAAGATCGGCACCGTGTTGGTGGAGTCCTCAAACGAGTTGCTCAACACCGTGAAGAAACTCGAACTTCCGTCACAGAACACGTACTCTCGACCACTCGGCAGTGCGTTCAGGATCCACGTCGTCAAGGCACCCGTCATACGATCCGGCCGGAGACAACGAAGAACAAGCAGTTTCTGGAATGGCGTCTGTTCTAGTTTCTTCCAATCCAGCGGCAATTTGGCGTCTTCCGGCGCCAATTCGTTGCACCACTCCTTGAAGCGGTTGGGAGCGTCTTTCTCTATGTTTAGAGCTGATGCGAGCTTCCTCTCGTCCTCGTTCTTGGGTATTTATCTTCCACCTCTTTGAGACGAGAATGATCCGATGTCCCTGTTGAAAAATTGTTTTCTTTTTCACGTAGATGAAAAAGAGCCAAGGTTGTGGATCAACATCATGTAGGGGGAAGGATGCTTTAGCGAGGTAGCCTTAACATATTCTGCGCGAACGATTCGAAGCCCTCAAGGTCAACGAGTTTGTTCACCGCGAACCAAGCCGTATTTGGCAGCCAGTCGGCGATCGGGTTCTCGATACCTGGTTTCATCGGTCCCTTCAGCAGAAAGTCAAAAACATTAGAAAACAACAGTACTTTACAACAACTCTCTAGTAATTTTCTACTCTCTACATACTCTGTCATGTCACGTGCCCTCTTTTACCACATGGCCAAGTGGATGTGAGGCACTTCAGTCACATTGTACCTTCTAAAAAGAAAAGCAATGTTTTACCTTTAGTACTTTTCCCTGTCAGATTTTTCTTTGCAACACAGTTGGCATAACAAAAACAGGGTTGTAGCTTTCCGCGAATTGCCCCTTCGCAAAGAGCTGGAAGGCGAGAAGGGCGCAGAAGATGAGTTTGTGGCGTTCGAAGAGCCCTCGGTTCACCCATCGGAAGATGACCATTCGAATTGAAACGATGAGATGCTCAGCACGGATCTTCGTGTCGTCGCTTTGTTCGGCTTTGTCGATGGCTTTCTCCATGAAGGTGCGGAAAGCGTCTAACGAATACTGATACATGTGTTCCACGAAGCACAACTGGATGATCAAGAAGAAGAGCATGGAACTCTCGGCAGCTGCCGGACGATACAGTTCACGAGACTGGTTGATCTTCTCCTCCGTCGCGTTGGCAATCTTCACCTGCTCGTTAATCTCGGCTGAAGTGGCTTTGGTAACTTCCAGACCTTCCCGGATTAGAAGATGAGAAGTGTACCTGTTACAAAATAATGCCCTCACTGCTCGTGCTCGTCTTCAGCAGTTGTAGGCTAGTTCTAGTAGGCTATAGTGCTCAGGACGTTCTTCAAGAGAGAAAAATGTACTTCAAAACCGGAGTACTTATAACAAAACTAACAAGAATAAGAGACCAGAACAAGAGATGAAGCTGCAAGAAGCCATAGGATAAGCGCAATGTTTTCCAAGATGGTTGACGGATCGGCGGCAGAGAGCTGGGCCAACAGATCGTCCTCCAATTGCGACAGGGTCACCTTGAATTCGTTCTGCTTACGGACCAACTCCTGCTTGGTTTGTTCCAACTCCGGTTTCTCGATGTTCACGATGATCGCCAAAATCTGACTTAAAGGCTGAACAAGCATTTCATTTTTAAAGTATATGTGTTTAGAGAGTTGTCCGTAGAAGTCCCTGATTTTTGAACTTGAAGAGAAACCACAGCTCGAAGGTAGTTGTGATCAGACGCCTAACAAGGGACAAAAACATGTATTTCAAATGAAATGTTTCAACCCTTAACTGATCCTCCAAACCGCTTGGGGTGACGATGAAGTTGATGATCGTGCACTGGGCCGAAATCTCCGGTCGGTAGTGCGGATTCGCGAGCTTGGACTGAATGAAGAGCTTGAATTTCGGATCGTACTCAATCTCCTCACCACCGAGCTTGATGATAAACTGGTTGCGCCCGCGCCTGATGATGGCACGACCAAGCAGGGGCTCCAAGATGTTAGCGCTAGTTTTTCACTATGATCCCTGGTTGAGTGCGACGCCGTGTCAGTCTCCCGTTATTTTACCCTTTAAATCAAGACGGACTCGTCCACTCAGCATAATCCACAGGGGATAGTGATAAACTAGCCTTAAAGATGGCGTCGATCTCGGAACCGATGGCCTCAATCAAAAGGGTGAGACCCATAGAAATCGTGTACACCACTTTGTTGAGCCAGTTGTTCTGCGTGAGCTGGATGACGGACAATTCTTCACCATATATTAGAAAAAGACACTGTAGCTACTACTTACTATCTCAAGGTAATTATCAAACTTCAAAAGTTCATTAAAGAACTATTATAACGTTATATATAAGGTCGGAAGTAAGTAGCTTCCAGTGGTCATAAGTATCGTTGCTTGATCCACTTGACACCCTGCAGCTGGGGATCGATCATCAGCGGCCATCGGGCACAGGACACCAGCACGGCGGCGTTTTCGAGCGAGACGCGATCTGCTGGCAATCCCTCGTTGGCCCAGCCAGCCATTTCTGCCTGCGTTGTGAGCACGCTCAACGGGTCGACTCCCTTCGAGATGGGGATCTTGCGCTGCTCGATGTCTGGGATCCATTGGTATTTCCATAGTTGCAACCGGAACGTGCTGTTGAAAGGCGAAATGTAGCCGACGAACTCGGACGCAAGTAGGCAGTCACCAATCAGAAGCAGACCCAATTCCTTCAGGCTCTTCACGGTCTCGGTCCAACGCTTGTACTCGTCGGCCAACCCGTTCACCAAACGCTCTGCCAGTCCTAGCTTCTCGAGGCAAGCAGCGGCCTGTGCCTCGACTGCCTCTTTCTCGGCAACAGCGTCATTCAAGGTCTTGTTCAGCGAAGATTAGAATGTACTACTTCTAAGTAATACTCAATCTAAGGTCTCCTCAGTAGAGTAGTCTCCTCAGTGACTGTACTACTAAGCAATACTCAATCTAAGCTCTCCTCAGTAGAGTAGTCTGCTGTCTCGACTAAGATGAAGTGAATAATAGCCTTGTGACAGTGTCGTCCATAAGTATCCACTTGGTCCTGCACCTCTTTCACACGTGCCAGCACAATCGCCAAAGCCGCTTCGGCCTTCTCCTTCGTTTCGGTTGCGACTCGTACCTTCTCCATCAACGGTGCGACTTTCTTGTAGATTTTGTTGTAGGCGACAATGTTAACGACCCAGTTGGTCAGGTACGCAGCGGCGGTGGACTTACCTTTTGTTAGAGGACGAGTCCTCTACTAACATTTATTGATATTGCCAACTACGTAGAAATTGTAGTTCATGATCTTGAGAAGCATCTACTTTCACGCGTTTGCTACTCGCCCTCAAGAACTTTGATGGAAAGGGGTCCTCCTACACTTTATGGATGTTGTTTTTTCTCCCCTCTAGGGGCAGACCATCCTGGCAGTTTTTCCCCTTGAAGTGAGTGCCAGGATGTTGACCCGTTAAGGATGGGGGAAAAAATAATCATCCCGGTAGATACATAAGATGAATTACTCACTGTAGTATCTCCTCAACGACAAAGATGCTTCGAGAAGACTGAAGATGAATTACTCACTGTAGCACTATATAAGTCTTAACTTCATCACATCGTACGTGAAGAAGGGTTGGTCGATCACCGGCTGAACATTCTTCAGACTCTCCTCGGGAATGTTATTCGCATCGAATGCAAAAATCTCATCCAAAAACGCACCAGGATTGTTCATCATCTTCTGGGCGCCCTGTTGTTGAGGTAAGGGTAGATTGAATTTGAGTTGTTGTTACTGTGAGTTCGATTTGTCCTGGGTACAACTTGTACTATTAAAACTTGTACAAGAACTTCTCTACAACAACTACTTGTCCTTATTTAACATCAAGAATTTTAGTAGAGTAATCACCTTCCAGTCCAATTTCTTTTTTTCTCCCTTCAGCAAGAAAGCGCAGGCAGCGCATACATCGATACATTCGACTGGTGGCTTACCCAAAGATTTCAACTCCTGAATCGCCGGCTTCGTCAGACAGTTCACGGCCTCACATTAGAGAAAAACTATAGTACACACAACTATAGAAACTACAAGTATAGATCATGCCGCATAAAAAACATTGTTTTCTAGAAAAACCAACAGACATGAAGACTCGTTCAAATAGTATAACTACTGGCTTCGTGATCTAGCCATAATCTTTAGCGGCCTCCATCGCAGGCATGGCCTCACCCAGCTCCCCGTCTGCTTGTGCCTTAATAGCAGCTGCATCAGACGCCAAGGCGTTCGTTTTCTCGGCTTCCTCGTTTGCCGCAGCCTGTATCATGATTGGAAGGATTCCTATCGTTTCTTGGAGGAGAATATCTTCATTCAGGGGATTTATATGCAATACAATTAATCTCGCACAAAGTTCAGTGCAGACTGCCATAAGGGGATATCATTCAGAGGATCGTGGAGGGTGGAACTACATCAACCTCTTCTTCTCGTCTCCTGCTCTGGTGTTTTACCACTTCTCGGACACTTTTGCAATCAAGTTGATGTGGTGTCCTTCTTAGATGAAATAGACTAAAAATACTAACCTTCTCCTTAAAACTTCGATAATATAATAATTTTTCATACAACAACATTGAAAAAAGTTAAAGTACCTTCTCGACATTTGCCTTCTCCGTGGCCACGGTTACTTGTTCGATCAAAGCATTGGTTGCGGTCTTTTTCTCCTCGACCTGGACCATGGCAATTAGAGGTGTATCCGTGACGATGCTCCAAATGGCAAAAATGCTGTTCCTAGTACCCGTAGAGACAAGTTCTGATAGTAAGAAAGGTGACCAAGGCAACAACTGACTGAGTAGACAAATAGTAGAAATAGTCCTCTGATGTTGTGAAGAAGACAAGAAAGTAGATGAATACATATCATCAGTCCACGCCTTAAGGTAATTTTCAAGTCCTCCTTGAGGCCATCGACCTTTTCTTGCACCTGTTCCATGATCGTCAGGCCCTTCTCAAGGCGCTCAAAGTTGACGGTGACCTTCCCCTGGCGATCCTTCAACATGATAAGGTATTAGAGGTCGCGCATCAATTGTGTTTCTGTTTCCCGTTTGTTCTCCCTTTCTTCTTTGGGAGAGACAAAACAAACGGCGACAACAGGAACACCGTTAACCTAGCCTTAAGTGTAGAAAGAGATGAGTTCCAAGAAGGATTTTGGGGTTGTGTAGTTGTAACGCCTCTCCTGGGCTAAGAATTTGGTGTTCGCCGCATCGATGGACAAATGCACCTCGGCCATGTTGTCGCACACCGCCATCACCATTAGACCTTTCTATTTCTATAATAACATTCTTATTCACAGGAGCAAGGAAACTTTCCAACTTTTTGCCATGCCATAGCGTTGTTCATATTCATCTACTTTATTACCATTTTACGACCCTTGAAAACACGTCAAAGATACACTGATTCTCTACACCAGGACACCAGGACCTTCTAAGAGATGATACGAGAAGTTTATGTAGAATTCCTTCCACCTTCTAAGAGATGACACGAGCTTCTAGGGAGTTTACACCGTTTAACAAGAGCCTTAACATCATATCGTCATCCGGGAAATTGTTGGTATCTACTAGCGGCTCCAAGAATCGCTTGGCGACACCTTGCAGCGCCTCCCTTGGCCACGGCATGAATTCGTCCACGACCATACAGGAAGGCATTAGACGAGAAGAAACATTACAACAAACTATTCTATTCTGTGCATCCCTAGTAGGTTTGCAGCACCTACCGGCGGGATCAAGTAATAAAATATCAATATCATATAGTGGTGTTCACTTACTATCTACTATGAGGAATCTTCTAAGAAACTAAGACGCCACTTTCACGAAACAAGTGCTTTGCGCCCCTACTGGACACTTGAAACAAGTACTGTTGTACACTATAATACACAGTCTATAGTTCTACGAGTCTTGCGGCTCTATGAGTCCACTTTCCGCTCTAATGTAGTTCGCGAAATTCTAAGAGTCGCCTACCTCGATAATGTGAGTGAAAGTCGTGAAGTTGCCCTTCTTCTTCTACAAATATTTGCTAGTGGGTTCGGATTGGACCTACGACTTCCTTGAGTCTCTTTTGAGTTCTACGAATTTCTACCCACTGTAAAACTAAAAAAAAGGCACCACGAGCACTAGTAGAAGAGCCTTAAAATCAAAGCCGGGAACTTACGTCCACGCACACGGAAGTCGTCACCAACTGGCGAGTGGCACAGGATCATGTGCAGGTTTTTACGCACTCGATCGATGAAGAATTGGAAGAGCGCATCGCGGTCATCGGGGACACCTGCAGCCTTCATTAGAGCGCTCATCGTTAAATCCATCCTGAGGAGCATCCTGAGACCTTGCATTTCCCCCTGCAAAGAAACGCGTTCTCTTCCAGGATGCCTTCTCTGAAGATGGACCATTAGGGGAAGCCTTAACTTCGCCATGTTACGGATGTTTCCCAGATGCGCATCGTACTCTTCACGGGTAAACAGGTCCGGAATGTTACCGGAAGAAAGCATATCGTTCAAGTACTTAGAAGTTCAAGTACGAAGATATTCATCTCGGAGCGCATCTGTAACCTATTTCTTCCCTTCATCTCGGCACGGGAAAGATGCAGCATGTCATGTGTGTGCCCCTGATATGACCCCTCTTGGTCACCGTAGAGTTTTTTTTGCGTTAGGATTATATGCCACCGCCCTCTCAAACAATCAATTAAGAAGAACTTACCCCGAGGACTGCGTTAAAGGTTTAGTAGTCTAGTATTCTGTAGATATACAATCAATTAAGAAGAATGGATAGATATAAGGTTAGGTTAGGTTATGGATCTTGCTAAAATCATTGAGCACAGCAAGTAGTGATAAATTAAGAAGAATGGATATAACAAGTAAGCCATAAAGTACACGAGGAATTTTTCATCTGCGATCTGGCCATCGGTCATCAAGAACGCATGAGGGGTTCCCGGCTTCACCGCAGCTTTCTTGTAGAACTCCTGCAAGTCCAGCTTCAGTTCATTCATCCCGTAGCTCTGGTTCACTAAAATTCGCACCACCGTAATCTGCTGGACACATTAGAGGAGGTAAGTATTACTTCTCTTTTGGGGACAAGGTAGTAAGTAGAGAAATTGTGATTTAGGTAAGTATTACTTCTCTTTTGGGGACGATGATTAACTTCTTCTTCATCTTCTTCCAAGAGTGAGGTAGTAGTTCTCTTGGATTTTCATCTTCTCTCCAGAGTGAACTGGGACAATGTACTTCTTCTTCATCTTCTTCATATAATTTTCCCCTTCTTGACTTCTCAGTTGACATGGGAATCAGATCCCCTTGACTTCAAAGTAGCCTTAAAATTTAAGTGATGATGAAAGGACTAGATTGTAGGATATTCAATTTCCCCCTTCTTGACTTCTCAGTTGACATGGGAATCAGTACCAATCACTGTCATTGTGGCAAAGAAGAAGCCTTAAATAAAGCACGATAGGTAGGACAGGGATTGCTTTCCGCTGCCACCGACACCGACGAGCAAGGCATGGCCGCACGGGAAGTCGATGATACGGCAGATCCGCGAGATGTGTTTCATGGCATCTTCGAAGAGCACCAAGTTCATCGCAGCATTCGCCTCGTTGTATTAGCGGTTGCACCTATCCACTAATCCACAGCTATCTAGTAGGTCGCATAATATCACACCTATCTAGTCTAGTGGCTCGCATATCTGTACTGTTTGTATCTATAAATATGTACCCCTCGTCGGGTGAGCATTTGTACCCCTTGAGAAACTGGCCTACACAAATTTTTTTCTCTCCTACCTCTTTTATACGTTGGCCCCCCTATCTACCCCCTTTATTTCCGCCTTGAAAAGCTTAGATTATAGATCATATGCTTATGCTTTTAAGTACATGATAGACTAAGTATATGCTTTTAGGAGATGATTATGGGTCAACAAGGTGCAAGGGCCTTAATTGTACTGCTTCAGCTGGTCCTCCAAGGTGATGCGCAAACTGTCAATATCCTTGACAGGCAAATAGACCTTGTCATTTCCACCAGCAACCGCCATAAACGTGGTCCAAATCAACGGCTCTGCAAACATCTCTTCGAGGATTAGAAAAGACATACAATTACAACATCACTTCGTTGTAAGATGAACCTTGAACCTTATAAATGTCATCGCTCATGGGCATCAACCTCAGAATAGTATTTTTGGACTCAATTGCTGCAGAGATGCAGCTGCTATTGTCCATCTGAGTCAAAGATGAACATTCGGCCAAAGTGAAAGAAATCAGTCCAAATAAAGAGAATGATGAATTTTTCTGGATTGTAGGTGTCTTAGTCTAGTAAGTTACTCCATAACTACTTAAAGTAGAGATGATAAATTATATGAAAAAGCAGAAGTATCATCCTGTTGACATGATCAGGATCTCCTGATGAGTGTGTTACAACAAGAAATCTTCGTGTTCTAGAAGATAGAAGTTCGACACTTCTTAACTTCGGCACCGTGGCTGCTAGGTGTTTGCCGTGGACTTTCTGGAGAATTTCGTCCAAGGCAGCTAAATCTGATGGACCAACAAGACGATCTCCGAAGACACGGCTTTAGAGCGTTCCCAAAGGAGCTTTCCCCCATACTAGTGTATGATCTCTGTAGTACTAGGGATCCCTGCTAGCTATGTGTCTAAGTATCTCCCTTGTGCTTGTGTCTATCTCCCTTGTATTGAGAGGCATACAACTGTTCTTGAGGGATCATGATCTATACTCTAATATAATCAGAGTAGAACTGTATACTCTAATGTATAGAAAGAGATGGATTAGGCGGGAAAGCCTTAACGGTTGGCCTCGTGCAACCAGCAACGCGCCATTTTGGCGGGTCCATCCTTGAACATCTCTGGCTTTGTGGTGAGAATACCTTGGAAGATGTTCGCCGCATCTCGCAAGTTAAACTGGTAGTGGAACTTCGCAGCGGACGGGAAAATTAGCGAGCGGCGCTTACAATAATTCATTTTGAAAACGTTTTTTACGTTCATCTTGAAAATTGAATGACATTTTCTACGTTCTTGGTCTCAGAATCCAAGAATAACAAGGAAGCTGAGACATCAAGTACCTACTCAGTGAAGCTGAAGATGAATTAAATCGTGAGCCTTAACAAGAATGCTGGCGTGTTCAGAATCTGGGTCAGCGTGTCGACAGTGCTCATCACAAGCATCGGGGCTAGAGCCTTGATGTTTGGCGGGAAGCTTGCGAGGTGCGTCTCCACGATCGGGCCGTAGACGCCCTTGATGGAGTCCGCGGTCGGCAAGAAGGTACTCAGGACCGCGCATTAGAGCCCAACCTCAACAAGTCCATCTCCGAGGCCATCCTGCGACTGTTTTCCCGTAGTTGAAAACGTCTCTACTAAGATGCTTCGGCAGGAGGTGGAATAGAACAAAGAACCGTAAGTGTAGTGGCGCTGCAGACGGTCGTTAACCATGAACGCACCTGCCTTGGGGTTCATACAGGAGACGAATTGGATGTCGACCAAGTCCTTCTTGATGGAGAAGTCGTCTCGGTCATAGATCTGCGAGTACGAGAACATCTGCAGGATCAACATCGCTGCAGACTGGGTATCGTACTTGTCCATCGCAGGCATGTTCAAATCATCAACGAAGAAGATGCACCTGAGATGAACAAGTGCGATTTGATAATACGATCAGAATGAATAACAGGCATGTTCACCTGGCGTTAAGAAGAATCTTATAGAAGGTGATGGATGAAGTCGTATATTCTTCATTCATGGAGGACTTCTCAAGTAATAACAAGCTCTTAAAAATTCTTAGAAGAACAACTATTGTTCCTATTGAATTGATCAACTTCTTCTAGTTATTAAGTCTAAATGAGTCTAAGAAAGTACTGAGCATGTACTTAGTTATAAGTAAATAGTTATTAAGTCTACATGAGTCTAAGAAAGTTTACTTCTTGTTGTTTGGCGGACCGTAGGTTCGACCGGTGCGCTTGTCCAGGGAACCGACCAGAATGGCTTGCAGGGCCGCAGAGGATGTGTAACTGTTGTTACAGATTGTGGTGGACATCAAATCGTCCCGCTTGATCTTCGCCTCCACCAGGTAATCCTTCACGATGGTTGTCTTACCCGTACCCGGGACACCGACGAAGAGAACCGGCTTGATGCGCTGCATGTGCAAATCGAGCACATATTTGTTCTTCTTAGAATTTTAATTTTTCCTTTTTTCCTGGTTCTGGGGGGGGGGCGCGTTTGAATTTTTCCTGAGAAGAGAATTTTTCCTGTTCCTTGAGGGGCGCATTTATTTCTTCTTGAGGGGCCCATTTTTTGTTCTCTGTGCTGCCCTTTTTCCATTTGAAAAAGAGGCCGCCAAGGATGAAGCGGAGGATCCTTCAGCGGGAGCCTTAAACTTCTCGATGTCGACACCAGAGACAACAATGTTTTGGTACATCACCTCGATGCCAGGAATCGGCTCGTACGGCTTCACGAAGTTCTCCCAGTGCACCCACTCTTTGTTCGCGGTATCAAAGATGTAGTCATCGGGGGCACCTGCCTCCGGATACTTCACCTTCGCAAGGATTAGAGGACGATATTCTTTTTTTTTGAATAATTTTAGGTGATTCAATTACAAGCAAAGAATTTGTTCTCGTGACGACCACGAGCAAATTAAGTAATACCATATTAAGCAGGTCCAGGTATTGACTAAGAAAAGACGATCAACATATGAAAAAAATTTGATTTTGATCTTTAGTTCATCATAAAATTGACTTCCAATATCCAGCCCAACTCTTGCGGTAGTTGACCACCTTATCATCTGCAACGGAGCCACCGATAGCCCAGTTCATTGCGAAGATAAAGTAGGCTTCGTAGACCAATTTTTGGTCGTCGACGCTCATTTGACGCAGTGCTTCTGTTGCTTCCTTGGTATTGTTGTTCAACAAAGCGTCCACGATGCAGGTGATTGTCTGGATGAAGGCCATGTCCAAAATGGCGGTGCACGCAAAGTTGAACATCTTGCGGATCGCGTCGATATTGGCCTCGAAGTAGTTCGCGAACAGGAGGTAGAACGTAGACTGGGCTACTTGGTCCAAGTTCTCCCTCCAGGACTCCATCCGTTAGGGGTTGAAACTTGACCTCTCCAGCTCGCATCTCTAAGAGGCTATTTCCTACTTGAGGAGGCCATAGTAGAGATGCGACATCTTCTAGATAATAGGTCAACTTCCAATGCATAAATAAACGGCTTCCAACCGACATCGGTCTCGTTGATGAACAGAACACCTCCACGGCTCACTGTAGCTGGGGACGCGTGCTTCATGTTCTCAATCTCAAGCAGCATGCGCATTGTAGGAGCGAAAGCGATACGTTCGTTGGACACCAAGGTACAGGTTAGAGGGGGAACAGGAGGAGGAGGAGGAGGAGGAAGAGGAAGAGGAGGGGGAAGAGGTGGTGGTGGTGAATTAAAATCGAGAGAATACTTACTACATCTACTTAAGTACAACTTTATGTCAAGCGCGACTTTTATATCGAAAAAAAAAGTGGTAGAAATTTGATTGCAAAAATTCTATATTGACGTCTTGAAATAAAAGATCTTCCTTTACTTAAGTATCATGATAACACGTTTTTGTGAGAAAGAACCACTTCTAGCGTGACAAGATTCGGTTAACAGACACCCTGACAATATCTACAAACCTGATGATTCGCCATAACAACACCTTGTTGTCGTCCATCACAGTGTTCATGGATTCGATCCATTCGGCATCGATATCTCCATCCAGGATGACCCACCTGTGCTGATGCGAAGGCTTGTATCCCTGTATTAGAGCAGCTCAGCCTTACAAGTGGTCTATCTTAAGATGCACATCTACAACTATTTGCCTCTACTTTCCTATGAAACTGCAGCTTCAAGAACAGGGTACTTCTGTCGAAACCTAAAGGTAATATGAAACAGCTTGTTCAGGCACTGCTTCAAGATGCTTCCGTCTGAAGACGAAAGAATTGGATTCTTTCCGTAGCTACCGGTATTCATTGTAAGTATTTTACAGTAAGTTATTTGATGTTTGTGCTGAGAGCCATAAATTCATTTCCTTGGACATGTTTCGGAAGATAACCGCAATAGCACCGTCCTTCCACTCCTTGGTCTTGGACATCTGACCGTACAACTCGTCGGACGTGATGGCCTTCGGGTTCACCTGTTCCCACAGACCGTCCTGGCCGATCTCTTTCACAGAGGCCATCAGCGACTTCCAGACCTCGGTCTTGGAGCAACCGCCAGGGCCAATAATGAAGCAGCAATGGCGCACGAACAGGATATCGAGCAAGCCGACGACCTTGACCGTGAACGCCTGATCCGCCTGCAAGCCACGCTTCTTGATAACGCCGGCGCACACCTTGGTGAACTCGACATCTACGAAGGGATCCGGCCACACTCCTGTAAACAGATCCTTGATCAAGCGCAAGAAGACCGGCATATCCTGTGTCGTGATCTTCGGAGTGTTGAAGTCACGAAGGGCACGGCACAACACCGGATTCTCGTCCGCATCCGGTTCCTTTCGCTTCAGCTTACCCGCCTGACGCAGCAGCGACTTCACGGCACGCAGACCCCAATCGTAGTGCATCTGTTTCGACAGGAGCGCCGCCGACAGGCCGTACAGGGTGACGAACTTACGCGACAACGGTCGCGCGATCACGAAACCTTCACTCATCAACATGTTCTCGCAGATGAAGGTAAGATCCGGCACGATCATAGCGCAAGAGCGGAAGAGGGCCTTTAGATTCTCCGGCAACTCCGTACGTCCAGCGTAACCCGGGTTCATGGTGGAGATTAGAAGATCCGCTAGAAGAGCTCTAGCCTAGAGATGAAGGAGCTTTTGATACTTTTGATTTTAGCTCATTTCATCCTGTAATAAAAGATGCTGCATTTTCATACTGACGCGCCGTAAAATAAATGCACCAATGGTGGAAATCAGTTTGATCTCCTCATCCATGAAGAGGAAGGTCTTCACGTTTTCACGAATCGCATCCAAGATCGCCTTGTACTGGGTTGACACCACCGACAGCACCTCGATACTGATACGGTTGAACTCATCGAAGCAACCCCAGGCACCGACTTGGGCGAGACCCATGAAGATGTTCGCTGTGGTCAGGTAACTCATCTGATCGGAGCAGTTGAACACCACGATGGGCAGACCAAGGGCACGCGACAAATCCTTCGTCGTCTCGGTCTTTCCGGTTCCGGCCGGGCCAGCCGGAGCGCCACCGAGCGTCAGGTTAAGCGCCTGCGACAGAGTAATGTAGCAGCGATCCGTCAACGGCGTGATCACCAAACGACCGCAGTTACCCACGTATTCGTACAGGTAGATGGTCACCCAGTCACAAATCTTCACGTAGCAAGTCTTCAGCTCATCCGGAGTCAGCGAAACCAGACCCGCTGGGGACGCAGGTTTCGAGCCGAGGTAGAACTTCAACTGTGACTGCCATTGGAATGCAGCAGCGCGAGTTAGAGGAAGATACTAGAGGAGGTATGTGGCGATTGGGGATTTTTGCGATTGGGAAAATCATCCAACGCATCACATTCAAAGGACTTATCACGACAGCAGCAAGAATCTTGAATCTCAATCTTCTTCAAAACGAAAGCTCCAACATCCGGCAACAGGAGTTAGTACTTATTCTTATGCCATGTCATGTATTCCCTCCGTGTTGTAGTATGAGAGTGAATTTTTCACTAGAGTGCTGTCTCCTGTAGAATTTGATTAAGTCTGTAGACTAGTACTGTAGCTAGATCAAATGCGGCTCAAGATGGTGAAAAATCGGCTCTCATATTTAGTTCTTCTAGCTTATACTCTAGCTACTTATCTTCATAAATCCAGGATTTTCTTTGTGACGAAAGATTCTACGACATCGCGACCGTGCACGTCGATCGTGATCACCGTGATAATCTTGGCGCGCAATTCTCCACTCAGATCCGTCTGCACTCGGAGAATGAACTTCTCAATACGATCATCGCAGATTAGACAGCTCAAAGCAATTCATTTCTTTTTCTTGCCTGCATTTCTCCACATGGATGATCCTCAGTGAGTAGGAAACAGGGAGACATGCAAATGGCTTGTAGAATTGACTCGTGTTGAGCCATAAGCAAACACGCTTGTAGTCCTTCATCGCGGTCTCGCTGCCAGCCTCGATCTCCTCGAAAGCGCGAGCTGTCTCTTCAGTCCAGACCATCATCCTTGCTTAGACCATCATCTTGCTAAAAGTTATCATCTTTGACCATCTTTGACAACGTGTAGTTTTCTTCGGGTGCCTCTCTTGAAATTGAAAAACAAACACAGATGCTTCAAAAATGCTTCGTCGGTCATCTCAAGATGAAAAGTTAGAATATGGGCAAGCCGTAAGTTACCAACAAAGCCAACTGCGCGCAGTAGGCCTCGAGCCAGAACTCACGAGGGTTATCCACCTCCCAGGACTCTGCGGTGCTGCGCGCATTCTCCATCTGGTCTCGCAACGCCAATCGAACGTGGTTCTCCAAGCTCGATAAGTAACCTTCGACCGCACCTCTGATTAGAAGACCTTGTACTTCTCGTATTCACTTTGCGTGATAGGCGTGATAGATATTGTACTAGTCTGTTTTCGAAACAAACTGCAAAGCGTGATCTTGTAGTACTAGTCTCTTTTCAAAACAAACAAAGACCAATAATTACTCGAGAAAAGAGCCTTAATGTAAGCTGCACGTCCTCGTGGAAGGCCACGCATTCGCCGTCCTTCGCCACCATTCCACTCGCGATGCGACCAGTGTCCGGCTCCTTGGAGAAATCCAGGGTCTTGGTAGCATCAAAGACATCGCCCAAGTAGGCAGCGACCTTGAGTGGTCGGTTTCCGTTGGACAAGATATCAAGCAAAGCCTGGTTCGCAACGAAGTAGAAGCGGGGGAAGTTAGAGCTTGATGCATGATCTGCTCATCCCAAGAACGTCCATCCTGTTCCTGGAGGGCCCTTTTCCCATTGAAGAAAAGCCTCTCTCCGAGGTCGGATTCCCTAGACAAATTTTCAAAAAAAAGTCTTCATCATCAAAGACGTACGTACTCCAACAATGAAGGTCGGATGACTCTTCTGAAGATGGATTCAACTAGGGGACGAAGCCGTAAGGAAAGCCTTCTTCTTTTGTTCGAGGTAGTCGTTCAAAGCTTTCTCGCACGTCTCAATCGTATCGTGGATTTCCTACCTTAGAAAGTCAGTGCAAGTGAGGGATTCATCTTGGTAGACAAGAGAGGTGTTGATTTCTTTGACCATGAATTTTCTCTGTGCTATTTGTTTCTGGTGTTCATATTTACCCTTCGAAGCAAAATTTGCAAAACGACATTGCAGGCACTATTTGGTTCGCAACACTTACATACTACTAGGTTAGGTTAGGTTAGGTTGTGGATCCTTCACAACGAGTCCCACAGGCACATGCTCGCCTCCGAGGATGATGGGTGACCTAGGTAAGGATCTTCTACTCAAAATATTAATAAGTCGATTATGGTTATTATAAAAATCATCATCATCATCATGATCAGCGTAACTTCAACGCATCCAGCCGTCCTTCTGCGCAACAAATCTCAACGATCATGGTGCTCTGGGAAGCATCTAACATCAACTCCTTCCACTTACCATCGACCTGTTCGAATCGCTTGGCGTCATCTGGCAGCTGAGCACGGATATCGTCGGACTGCATCTCTTAGAGCTCAGCCCTATCCCTCGCGAGACGCATCTTGCTGCCCTTTTCTCCTTACCATGGGAGAAAAGCACTCAAGATGCACCAGCTTCCGAGGATGCGGATGGATATTTTTAAGGGGGACGAAGCCTTAAATAAAGATGGGTTCCAATCGAGACCAGTTCAACTGCGCCTTCTGCCACACATCGACCACTGCATCGATGGTGCGCAACTTGACGCTCCATTCGTCTACCACGGCTTGACAGAACTCGATGAATCGGCCCTGCGAAAGCATACCTTAGAACAAGAGCTCTTTTATGTTACAACGCAATACAATACAATTAATCTCGCACAAAGTTCAGTGCGGACTGCCTTAAGGGCGTCATAGATGGTATACACGATGGATCTCACGCACAGTTCATATCTTGTTCATATCTTGAAAACATCGTGTTCAAAGAATATTTAGAAATTTGGTTTTAATACGCACGCCTTAAATACCAACCATCTCCAGCGAGTGAGCCTCGAGAATTTCGATAGTTTCGCCCAACTCGGCAAGGAGCGGAACCTCCGGATTGCTCATATCGAATCTGAGCTCCATCTTGGACCACGTGTTCTTGATAATGGTCAACTTCTTGTCGATCTTGGCTTCCTTCGCACTCTGGTCCACAATCTCGCTCACGTCGTCTGCGAAGTGGTGGAGGTTGAGCACGTAATTTAGAGGAAGTCCTTTACCTTGCTATCATCTTGAAATTTAATAGGCTCATCGTACTATCTTCGAGTAAGGATAGGACAGGAGTTGGCTCACCTATGAGGGGGTGAGCGTTCGAGGCCATTGAGGTGTCATAAGGGATTTCTAGACAAATAGCTGGTAAGCAAGAGATAAGAGCCGAGAAATGCAGGCAGTCTTAGGTTAGCAATTATCATGTATGAACACGTTCTTGTGCTACGCATTGTTCTGGACAAATAGAAATATCAATATCAGGCCTTAACAACAAGTCCTTGAAGCAGAAGTTGGGTCCCTTTTCGAAGTGCTTGCCCGTAACCGCCATGATCATGCTCCAGTGGCGGTCGCGCATCGTGTCGCTTCGCAGATCGTTGATCAACGGCAGAACAGTGGACATGTTCTTCACGACGTCGACGAGCCAGTTGTACAGCTTCCACGCACGCATGCCCTTCGGCATGTTCTTCACCTGGTTCTGGATCTCTTTCACGCGGGTCATCAAATCTTAGAGCTTACGACCTGGATCTTCAAGTAGATGAGAGCATCGTCTTACCTTAATCAAGTTGTGATCTTGTTGGAGAGCATCTTTCAAGAAGTAGATGCGTTTTTGTAGTACCCCATAGGACAACGACAAGGCCTCGCAAGAAAGAAGATGATGCCTCTCCCTCTCAAGAGAGATGATGCCTCTCCCTCTCAAGAGAGATGATGCCTCCAAGAAAGATGAATAACTTACTTAATACTTATAGTAAAAAAAAATATATTCATATTACCTATAGTAACTCACTATAAAGGAGTAGAACTAGCCTTAAAAGTCGTCTGTGTTAATCTTGTCCCACAGAGTGGTGTTCCAGTCCTTGAAGGTGCTCTTCACGATCACGATCATGTCCCACAAGTTCTTCAACAAACCGGCGATTAGCGATGCGTGATATATTTTTTTTTTCGTCCTAACAAAGAAAAGAAGTAAGAGTCAGTTGTCGAGATCTTCATCATGATAAAAGAACTAAAAGTTGCCAGTCTTTAGGTCTTGATCATGATAAAAGAACGAAGAGGTGCCTTCAGGTCTTGATCATGATAAAAGAACTAAAAGTTGTCAGTCTTCAGGTCATCATCTTCAACAATCATGCCTTAACAAATCGTCGAGCGACTCCTTCAAAGAGCGGTAGTTCGACACCGAGATATCGAACAAAATCTCCAAGTTGTTGTATTCGGCTGCCGTCTTCTGGATTTCTCCAGTCTTGACGTAGTAATCGTCGAGCTTCTGGTAAGCGGCATCATACCCTTCGCGCTCGAAGGCATCCATCAGCTTCTGCGCGTCTGCGCTGTTCTTAGAGCAGTATCGAGAGCAGTATATGCTAGAGGAGAGCATCTTCCTCGAGGAGAGCATGTAGTTTCTTGGGAGGATGCTTCTGTTTCAGGTAGAAAGAAAAAAAAGAGCCAAGGATCATGGTGTTAAGGTGGACATGCTTCAGCGGTAGCCTTAATGTTGGCCGCCTCGTCGATCTGCGCTTGCAGCTCTTCCGGGATGACCAAATCGACGTACTCTTCGTGGGAGAACGGACAGTTGGCGCGAAATTCCGCTCGGAAGTCGGCGACTTGGGAACCGAAACTGTCGATCTTGTGTCGAATCTTGAGCATCTCCACATTCTGCAGAGGCAGAATTTAGACCTTACCGGTATTCCCTTCTAGAAAGTGACGTCCTTGCTGCCCTATTCTTTCCCTTCTTGAAAGTTCCCCCAAAGATGCCTCTCAAACTCTTCTTGGGAGGATGCTTCACTGTTGAGAGCATCTTCCTCGAGAAGAGTATGTAAAAAAAAATATGTAAAAGCCTTAAAGGATCCGCTCGCGCTCGTCGAAGGCAGCGCGAATAACTTCTTCCCACTTGGCCGGCGCAGCCTCCAATTCCAGCAAGTGCTCCTCGGCAGTGATTAGAAGAGGAAACTTGTACATCAATTTTCGACTTTTTATACGTTAGCAACATTTGTATCTACGTACTATTTGCCTTTGGCTTACTCTCTCACTCTCTTTGTTTCTTCATACATCCATCCTACTAAGAGCAAAATTGAAAGAAAAACGTTGCTCATCCGTGGTAAACAAGTCAGTTGCTTGATCTGGGGTAAAGAGAAGAACAAGAAACTATCGGAGAAAATGGTATCCTCCAACATAATTTTTACTTGGAGGAGGTCTATGAAAATCTATACCATGAGAATTGGAACATAAAATTGGAACTCCATGCTTCTTTAGCAAATTGCAGCCGTTGCGGATCGGATCGAACAAGGCCTTCAAAGGGCCCTGGAGGAACTTTACATCGCGAATGTGTGTCATGGTCTGGTAGAGCAGCTTCGAGTTCTCTGGGTCGTCCGCCGGTGACATCTCCGTCAGGCCCTTCTGCACCTTGTTAATGAAGCCCATGAGGTTCACGATTCTTGCCTCCACGTACTCGTGGAGGTAATGCGAGTACCGTTCCTCCCACTTCGCCACGTACTGAACCAAGTTGATCTTCACTGGTTGAGAGTTGATGCGCAGCCAGTGAATGTCCACCGGGGTCTTCATGCCGGCGATCTCTTCAAGGATTAGAAGATGAGCACCTTCTTATCTTTCGTGATGCAAATAAGGCCATGAGTAGTAGTCAGTAGTACAACAAAAAAATTTACGGTGCTGCACTTAACAACAGTATGGTGCTGGTGCATTTTGAAAATTACAGTCAGTACAACAACACATTAATTAGCGGTAGGTTTTTGGTGTTCGTTTAAATCCCGCTTGTTATGGCTGTCCCCACCTAAGGGAGAGAGCCATAACAAACGGTAACAAAAGCACCTTTAAACGGTGCTGCACTTAACAACAGTATGGTGCTGGTGCATTTTGAAAATTACAGTACAACAACGCATTAATAATGATTAAAGAACTGCTTAACTTGAGTTTCTTGAACCGCGTGATTTGTTCGTCGAATTTCTCCAGTGGGGGAATCTTTGGGCCCATGTCGATATTGGCGTTGGCCATCATCGTGGGAAAGTCCATGCCATCCTCAACTTCTACGGTGACCAAGTCCTGAGCGCCATCAGCCAGGAAGTCACTGAAGGTCTCGTCAATGCTCTCGCGCCACAAAAAGCTGTGCTGCATGAAGGTCTGTCGGTAATCCAAGCACTTCATCTCCGTGTTGTCGATTAACTCGAAGACCCAGGATTAGCGCAGAGCGGCCATTCAATTGTTCCTGTTCAAGACGAGTCCATATACATTAATTGCTTATAAGTGTTTTCTTTGTTCTTGTACGATCTATAAGTTTATGAAGATCTCCTTGTTGATGTATGAAGATCTACTTGGGTATTGGGGATGACCTTCTGCACGAGAAGTTCAGACCTCCAAGAAGACGCAACAATAAACAGAGAATAATGTGACTCACACTCCTGTAAAGAAATGAATAGGATTTTTGATCCTTAAAAGGAGAGCAGGCACTGCATCTGGAAGTGCTCCTTCATCTCGTTTAGGTAGTCTCCAGTTCCGGTATCCAATCGGGGCATCGTCACGGCTGCCATGGCGAAAAAGTCGCGCAGCCAGCCATTCACCGTACCACGCAGAGACACGCCATCACTTTGGCGTGGAGCGAAGGGCGGCTCGAACACGATCTCGCCTGAGGGTTAGAGGAGTAAGGGAATAGATCTCGCCTGGTGCTGTTGACGTAGGGGAAAAGGAAATTGATTCACGATTCGCATTTCTTCCTATGTTGATGCAGATCGGAACAAGTGAAAAGTTATCATTTTCTCAGTAGAATTATAACACCGAAAAAATATAAGGGGATGAGTAGAAAGTCTTCAATTATCTTCTATAAGTACTATGTATAGAAATCATCATGATCATCTCTAAAAGTAGTTAGAAGTGAACAGTCACAAAGCCGTAAGTGTCGGAGTCCAATTCGATCTTGATGTCGAATAGCGGCTGAACGTCGTGCCGCGAGATGATCAGAGGATCCAAAATTTCGCAGAGGTACTGCAAGGAAACAGCGATAACGGAGACGAAACCCTCGATCATGATGTTGTTCACGAAATCGACGTAGTTCTTCCAGATAGCGGAGGACTTCGGGACCTTCAAGGCCTCGTTGCTGTCCTTCAGGAACTTGTGGATCTCCTTTCCGGCTTCTCCCATCATGTGCAACTTCGTGCCCACGTTGGCCTTGTGCGCCAAGTCGAATTCTTCGACCGACATCGGCTTCGCCTTGCGCTCCAGCAATGGTTGTTGGCACCACTGTTCGATGATGGTGGAGGTCTTCTTCAGATTTGACTTGATGATGTCCACGACATCGCTCACTTCGCCGACCACGCTTGTGACGGAGGTAATCAACGCTGGGATCTTGTCCTCGCTCTTCCATCGCAGGTCGGTCAAACCCGGACTGAGTGCCGAATCCATGCGCACAATCTTGTCCTCGAGCAGCGGTTCTTCCACGGGAAGAAGTTCCGTGAGGACAGCGTTGTATTTGGAGACCACGATATCCAGCTGGCCACACCAGGTTCGGTACACATCGGCGCGAGAGAAGATCTGCAGAGCCGTCTCCGGAACTTCGATTCCGAACAGCTGAAGGAAGAGAAAGAGGTAGTGTTTTAGTGTAGGAAGTCAGAGAGAAGTTCTAATAGAGAAAGAATATGTTTCGCATTCGCTGAGTCTTAATGTTGGAGGAAACGTAGAAGGAAGAGAGAAACGTAGTGTTTTAGTGGAAAAATTCTAGGGAAGAAAGGTGGTGACAAATTTCATCTCCTCATGTGGGTGTAACTACTTGTAGTCGGTCGTCGTCGAGCATCTAGTGGACATAAAACAACATCAATACACAGAACAACCTACTTACCCAACAATGAATTATAAGCTAGACAGATGAACAAAATTTAGGCCTAATGAACTCCGAATAGGTGACAAACGAATAAGTGACCACTACCAGTACACTTCTATCAAAAAAGAATTACACGGCAGTACCAAGAAGTATCGGACTTCGCGAAGAAGGCGGACTAGGGCGGGATCGAAGTTTACCTTCAACAAACCGGTCTTTTCCATACGTCGCAACAATCGCATCTTCAGTTTGTCCTTGGTCGTTTCCACGCTAGTCGCCTTCCACTCCTTGTATTTCTTCGTCTCATACTCCTCGAAGAGTTCGGAGAGTTGGCTATAGAGTTTCTCGACTTCCCTGTAGTCCTCCGGCTTTTCCCGCACTAGCTTGTTGAAGACGAGCAGCTTCGACATCGGCATATCGATACGCTGCTTCAGTGCTCGAGTTAGCCCTTACCCCTATTCATCTGCAAAGGCATCTTTGCCGTGTCCTTCCCTTTTGAAGAAGGAGGCTGCATGGCATGGCATGAGTCTCACATAGTCGTACATGTACTATCTGGGAGACTAAACAATATCAAGGACACTTGAGTGCCTCGAAATTGGAAACTCCTCTTTGAGGTAGAAGGCTGCAAAGATGCTTCATATCAATCAGATGAACAATTTGATTGTGTTTGTAGCCTTAATCGAACCCAGTAGATCGCGCCAGCGACCGGAGGGAAGTTCAGGAACAAAGGCGCGATATCGCTGACCAAATCCACTTGAGCCTTGTTCTGTGAGAACAACGTCTTGCACACTTTCAAGTCTGCGAAGATTAGATGAAGAAAACGTTCTTCTGGATTTTCTTCTTCTAGATGGAAAATAAACATAGTAGTAGTAGTAGTACAACTAACTATGTCTATGCAGTTCTTTTTGGAAATAAATTTGTCCAGCAGCTAGAAGTAGAACTTTGTCTCTAGATGAAGATCGTATCTGAACCTGAAGAAAGCTTCCATTCTCTACATCATTCCAGTTCGTCCAGACAGTATCCATTACGACAAAAATGGTTCTAGGTTTAGACCAGTCGACGATGGATTCAGCGTAACTTCACACCCTGCAAGAGCAGCACGTACTTCTTCTCTAGCTCATCTTCCAAAATGGGTCGTTCCAACAGACCCTCAAAAGCGTCGAAGAGTTTTGCGCGACCGCCGACTGTGTCTAAATCGTCGAAGCCGAGACCTAAAACGGTGGCCATCCTCCTATCCAGCTCCTTGATGCTCATGCGAAAGGTAAAGGGGTTTTAGAGGTTGTCGTTGGCAACTATGACTCTGCAGTATATTTCGGTTATTTGTGCCTACAAGTAGACCAAAGATTGAAGATAGGATTTTTTATCCTGCTGTGGTGCTAAAAAATCCGGAAGTCTACTGTATCTATAAGATGAATGTCCTCTCGTCTCGTCCAATATTTCTAGGTCGATCAAGTACAGAAAATCATCGGTATAAAAGACAACTTTGCAACCTTCGGTCGTGAAGATGTTCTTGTACAACAACAACTACTGTCGAGATTTCTACGTCCACCTCAAAAAGCTCATGTCATGTTGCGATTTCCATGTATTTCCATGTGCATGTCAACATGGCCATAAAAGTCGTCATCGAATCGGCTCTCCTGGATGTCCATGACATCGTAGTCGACGGCTTGGAAGGTAGCAACTGCCTTGTTAAATTCCTCATAGATGTTGACGATAGCCGCTGTGAGTAGTCTTCCCTTAGTACCACCGATATCGATACGTTCCTGATGTAGTTTTTAAGGATGTTTAGCAGGCAAGAACAACAAATCAATGTTGATGATGATATAAATACCCAGTCCGTAGACGGGTATGCAGGCAAGAACAACATCAATGTTAAGTAGGCGGTTTTACAGGCAAGAACAACGATCTAGCCCTTCCAACAATATCTTTGTAGATGTCGATTAGTATATTAGTTTTCACCTTAGGATTTATACTTCTATGAAGTTATAACCTACTTAGTAGGATTTTCATACTACCCACTAGTTAGTAGAAAATACCAGCTTGATGAATTGGACGACGGTCTTGGTGAAGTCCAAGATATCTCGGCAGCGTTCTCTAAAGGCGTCTAAGCGGATGAACAGAGCGTTGCTCTGGATCTTCCATCCTCACTTGTTAGAGGTACGTCGATTCACTCGGTAGTTAACTCTGTATAATATGATTATCTGTAAACAAAAGATGGGTCAATATATGTGATTATCTAAACAAAAGATGGGTTAATATGTGTGATTATCTAAACAAAAGATGAGTTAATATATGTGATTATCTAAACAAAGGATACTTGTTAGGCGAGGTCGCGCGGTTATAAGGTAGTTAACTCTGTGGCCGAGTGGGTTCCCCTTGTCCCCCGGAAAATCGACCCCACTGAAGGACCCTGTTGAGATTGAACCCTCTCGAGATTGTCCATGTGATGTACGGGAGAATGATCCACTCAGCGCAGTCCACACTTCTGAAGAGGGAGGATACTTCCACACTTCTGAAGAGGAAGGATAAGAGGACAGTTCTTAAAGTACTTTATTGGAAGATACATAGTGGTGACTGACTTGCCTTAACATTGGGTTGCTGCTCAGCGATGTCCTTGTACATGGCGTACCTGTCCTTGAATTCGGTGCAAATCGCTAAGGTCTTCTCCAGCTTGTCCACGGCCTCCTTGGCTTCCTCGTTTTGGATCAATGTGAGGATTAGACTCTCTTATTTCAGTCAGTAGCTCGCTTAATTTTGCTTAAATGACCTAGTAAATGTCATCTTCATGCACGGGGGGCCATCAACCTAGTATGTCATCTTCATGTAGTACGGGGGCAGGCCATAAGAAGATCATCGGTCCGTTGATGTATTTGAGACTCTGGTTGATGATCACGTTGCAGACCTCACGAATCAGGACCACTAGTCGTCCTGGCGTGTTGTAGTATTTCGAGTACTTCCAGATCAGCAAGATGGTATGCAAGAGACCATCAAAGCAACTAGGCAATTTTTCGAAATCCGCACCGTCGTTTGTCAGCACGTCAAAGTACGGCACTAAGGTCTTCAAAAAGTGATCGTTATCAATTGCCTCATCCCGAGCTTGCTCGACCTCCTTTTGTAACCTGGTGGGGGGGAGGGGAAAAAGGAGCTTACAGGGGAAAAGCTTCTATCAAAGAACTCAAATATAGAAGCATCTACTAAGTGAGACTTAGTTTTCACACAAATACGGCAAGCCAGGAAGAGGAACCATTACTATCTAACAAAGTAAGTCATTAAGCTGAGACTAGAGAAGAAGTGATATGCTTCACCATGCGCTTTGAGAACAGTTTAGTGTAAGTGTATTGCCTTGAGAACGGGTTGGTGTAGGTGGATTTATTCTGCTCCAAGAACTTGAGGACTTTCTTCAACTGCTCGCTCTGCAGCTGTGCGTGGATCACATTCAGGTTCGCTGCTTTCATTAGATGAGTAATCTCATAGGAAACAGGAGAATTACTAACTACATGGAGAAACATAGCATCCTTCTAATCTAGAACTCCATCGAAATTGGTTCTAGGAAGCAGTCTGATGGTTCTAGGAAACATTCTGATGGATCAAGAGAAAGAAATAGTCGATGATAATGTCTCTACCATAACGTATTCTTCCAGAAGTCTAACTCTCTCTCTCTAAATTTAGTAGTCATGTCTGCCATAACTTGTTCTTCCAGAAGTCTAATTCGACCTGGGGTCCAGGATTTCCCTGCTTCAACAATGCTTCAGGGTCTTGTTTGAGCACGTGTGAGATTTGCTTTGTCCAAGTGATCACCGCTGACTCGAGGATATGCACTCGGTCCTTCGTGTTGCCAGCACGCTCGTTTGTGGCTTGTGGGTTAGAGTTGTTATGTTAAGCCTTAGTGTAGTTGGGTCTGCAGGTCGTTCGACCTACACTAGTCCTTATTCGGTATTCATTATCAATTTATCTTCCAAGAGTTTTTAGCACAATATCTCGTTTTGTTCTAATAGTTACACCCACCAGCTTTCTTTCATAACCTTAGGCGGCAGTGGCAGCAGTGTCTTTCCGACCATGAGACCGCAGGTCACGTGCAGGTTTGCTAGGAAGACATGGTACTTGTCCATCAAGTCCTTGGAGATGAGGTCTGACCATCCTGTCTGGTTCGCTGGATTGCTCAGCGTGGACAGGTAGACGCTATGGCAGTAGGTGTTCAGCAAAGACATAATGTCTTTTGTGGCCTCCATGAAAATCACCTTATCGAACAAGTTCGCTGGGGTGATCTTTCCTGCGCCGACCTGGTGGGTAGTAATGGTACAAGGTTTGCATCGGTGCTTTCAAGCATGAATCATTGCTAGAACATATCTTCCGAACAGTACGTAGTAGAAGAAAAGTACCCACTTCTCAACAATGGTAAGATGAGTAAGAGAGGCAGTAGATACATATTGCCCTTGACTTCAAGAATACCCTGTGAACAAACACTAGCACACCCTAGTATGGATGTATATTGAAGCGCAGCATTCATCGGTCACTGACTCGGAACGGAAGCGACCCCCTCCAAGGCTCTCCCCTTTCCCTTCTTTTTCCCTTGTTCTCTCCAGGGGGCCTTCTTTGATTTCAGTGACCAACCTCTATGACCAATGAAATAAGTTGAGCCTTAAGTATAACACCCAAATATGAATGTATCTATAAGTAATTTCAATACCTTGTGCACAAAAATGACTTTCTTCTTCAATTTCACAAGGTCTGGGAGTTCCGCCACCGCCGTCCAGACACCTTCCGCGGCGGTTGAGAAGCACAGAAATTGGTAGTCCTCCTTCTCCAAGAACATTTTCACCTCTGTCACAGTGTCGCTTTTTTAGAGGGATGACCGTAAGATGACTAACAATTAATGATGATGGACGAGAGCGGAATCCCGTAGAAGCCACTGTATGATGCTCTAGCTCGTTAATCGTAAACAAGTAGTAGTAGTTGTAGTAGTAGTAGTAATAGTGTACCCATAATTCACGGGTTCTGATAAGCTCTAAAAACTCATTCACGGGTTACAAAAAGTGCTAATCTAATTATACAATTAGGTCTTCAAACTCATTCCCGGGTTACAAAAAGCGCTAATCTAATTATACAATTAGGTCTAATTATACAATTAGATCTTCAAAGCCTCCTGCCATAACCATCTATTGTCTGCATCGCCTTGTCCATCTTGGCTTTCGGAAACCCAAAGAGGTTGTAGACCCGCTGATGGATCCACACGTCCGCCTTGAAGGCATCTCCCTTTTCGTCCGGCATCTTGACGGAGGTACTGAGTTTGCACTAAGAACTGGAGTTGTTGAAGATGCTTCTTTCCACGGTGAAAACTTATTGTTGTAGTGTACTTGTGCTTCTTTTTTGAAAGCTAGTTGAAGCAGAACAAAAGGAAAAGAACAGATAGTCGTGTTACTCTTGATTCTGGATCAACAGATCGACGCGATCCAAGCTGGTGATCAACACGCGAAGGTGCTGTCCTGAACAGAAGTGGCCATGTTTCGAAAAGACGTCCTACAATAGTGCATGGATACCGGGTTTTTCCCCACTGGTCCCGGGGATGACTACGACCCTAAAAATTTTAGTTGTGGTGGATGAGATGGATCAATAGAATGACATGTGAGTTATCGAGAGATAAACACGAGATGGATTTTTGTTCATGACCTAGAAAAAGTATAAATTCATATTTATGATACAAGATAGGGCGGATTCAATCGTTGTCAAAAGGAACACAACAGAGAGGTGATGAGCAGAGTGTAGTCGGCAAAATTAGAAAACATCAAACGGAAAAGGATCTAAACGAACAAGACAAAAAGAATTAGATCATTCGACTCCAGTACAACGTCTATAGTAAGTCTACAAGCAAGAAAAAGAAACGTCACACATAGAAACATGTGCATAATTAGTGCTACAAAATGAAAACCAGCTACAAAACAAGAACGCGTCGATTCACCCAGCACTCGTTGCACTCACATGTCACGAAGCCAGAGCATCCATTGGATACAGGAGAGGTAATCTTTCCCTCGAGTCTATTCCGCCACGATAAAGGTCGAGTCTCACTCACGTCTGCTCTCGTTTGTTGTAAAGCAATCAATATGTGGATTCTCTACAACTACCTCAATAGTGCTCAACATCTTCCCAGGTCTACGACGACATCTGTGTCAAATTCTCAGCGACCACAATCGCCAAGGCGAACACTTCAGTAGACTTCTGCTTCGATATCATCTCTCGTCATACACTCACAAAGGCTATCGACCCCAAGAACTCGACGATGTCAAGCTTAAGACTACAGGAGTTGCGAAAGTCAGAGTGGAAATTTTCTCTCGTCGTCAGCAATTATTCGCATCGATCGAACAACTACAACCCGACTTGCGTAAGAACTTGGAGAGATACAACACGTGGTGTGGCTATATGCGCGTAAAAATTAGAGGACCACCAACATCCAACCATGATCAATATTTTTACATCCGACGTCATCATCTCAAAACTTCGAGCATCTACTATTACAATTAAATACATACCAAAGAACAGGTGAAATGATCCGAAAGAACGAAAGAACAAATACCGAATCCACGTCTACATCTTCATCTTGATACAGCAAACACCTAACGATAAGACCAGCATTCTTCTAATTTCCTACAGCAAGAAATTGGGAACCTCGGAATTCAGTAGATTAATGCGTCAAAAGTCGTGATGAAGACACAAAATCATACGACACGTCCGAATACTTTTTAGTCAGTCACATGATCTTGTTAGCTATTGCGCGGGAAAAGTATAATTTACAGAGGAGCTAAGTATTTACATTGCGTCTTTCGTCTTAGAGGTTGAAAGTTGGCATCTCTAGCTCGCATTTCTATGGCTTTCCTACTTGAGATAGCCATAGAGACGCGCATAGAGATGTCAACTCCCAAGCCCTAATCGTAGAAGATATTCAAAGTTTCAGTTTTTTGAGTTTAAGAACATCCTAAAAAGTAGATTGTATGGTCAGTCTTGATCATGCCGCGACTCGCTGTAGCTATGGTGTGTCGACGAGATCCACAAATTTATTAGTGTACATTCTAATATCAACATAACGACCTCCCATGAATATAGAACTCAACGTTACCTCCCCTGTCACTTATGCTGTGGTAACGTTGAGTTCTATATTCATGGCTAGTGGGTAACAATCAGTCCTATCGTGACGGACCTACGTACTGCGGGTTGACAAAACCGCTGCCATATTCATTTTCATGTTTTTCTAAACCACATGCTCACATTGTATGTTCACCAACGTCTAACAGATAAAAGTGTGTTCATCACTCTTCCTTCTCCTTGTACATTTAGTGATATCCGATACTCCCGACCTCAATCATTAAGTTTTTCAAGACACGATCTTTCTTCGACGTATTTCTTAGAATTTTTGGTCCACTATGCTAGGAATCGCGCAACGAGATTCACCAATGTGACTTTCATGTCGCAGCTGCTTTTTTCATAGCCGTTGTCTTGCTCACCTGCACTTTCATCACGGCTACCTTCTTCATAGCCTCGCTTTTCATAGCCTCCTTCTTCATGGCTACCTTCTTCATGGTCAGTTTCTTCATGACCGCTTTTTTCACGACCTCCTTCTTCATGGCTACCTTCTTCATGGCCTCGCTTTTCATAGCCTCCTTCGCGACAACGTGTATTTTTTAGAGAAATAATGCCAAGTACACTAGAATCGGCAATAAACTACCCCAAAACTGCTCGGCGGAGATCAGTCATGACGACATACAAGAAATTCGAAGTCCCTAATTTTTCACCTTGGGTTTATTCTCGGCAACTCGTTTTCCGGCAGACGGATCATTCTCCACCGCCTTCTGGGCACCCGGTTTCTTCACATTCGACTCCTTCATGATGGGCGGACGTTGTATAGCAGAAACCTGGAGGCAGGAGAGAGAACGCAAATGCCACTACGGGCGATGTTAGTTGACCAAGCGTAGGAGGTAGAACGAAGTCAAAGTCAAAGATAGAAGGTACTTGGAGGTTACGTCTAGAATCAAGAAAAGGGAATTGAATCACTCAAATCAGAGGTGCTTAGGAATTACCTTTCCGCCACAGTGTTCTGCCTTGTCTGTATGAATCCCTGCTACCTGCTCAGCCCATTTTCGTACCTGCGGCCAAGCAACTTTCCAGGTAGTCTGCATGCCTTTCTTATGGCAGGTGCGAAAAAGCTAGGTCAAGTAAGGGAGTCGAGACACAAACACTAACTCTGTGTCTGTCGCTCCCGTCCCAATAAAAGTAACTCTAATTAAGTCGTGTTGAATTAGCACCTCGTGCGATCGAGCCTGCGCATAACTCTACTAACTACAACATCGTGTTGAACTAGCATTTCTTTCGGTTGCGCTTACATGTTTACTTCACTTTTTCCCCTATTATATCGACGAACGAAGCTTATAAGTCATAATTAAGGCGTAGGTCTCCCGGCTTGGGGAGCTCGCTGATATCGGGCACTGCGCTGCATGCTAAGTGCTCCATCTGATATAACCTGTGAAGTGGGCGGAGTGTACGAGGTAAAAGAGGTTACCACGACTTTAATCCAACGATGAAGGAACAAGACAAAACTAGGACCCACAACGAACAAAAACTTAAATCACCTAGCCTGTTGCTTTCCATTTCTTGTCACGCGGCGCGTCCGCACTCGAGCCACATCACAAGCGCAAGCAGCACAGTACACGAAAACCTCTTTGTCGGGTGCCTTGTCCTTCGCCGATTTCTGGAGGGAGGTTGATCTTCTTATGTTCTCCACCGAAAATTTAATCCCATCAATGCTGAAAATGTTGTCGACCTAGTAAGTATATTATCGACCCGTATTCTTCCATATGATCAAAAGTTATCACCAGCCTTACAGCCGACTTATACTATAGTACTACAACAGGTGTCGAGGAAATTGTTACCGGTGTCGCTTTCGTCTTCCTTGTCTTCTGGGCAGGCAGTTGCTTCCCCCGGTTCGCCGCTGGCTCGGCGTCGAGGGCTGGAGCGCCGGTCGCAGCTGCCATTGCGGCGCTGAGGCTCATCCCATGTCCGTTGCCATACCTGCGAGAGCTTGGGTGCTCTGCGTGTCGTAGTGCCACAGGGATCTTCGCAGCATTGCCACTTGCGCGCAACGCACTGGCGATAGAGTGGCGACCGCTATTTGGCGTCAAAACGCCATCGAGCTCGAGTGGAAAATCGCCACGACAACGGCGGAAAGCTGCTCGCACTGCTGCGGTAGAAAGCTGCTTGCCACAATAACCCGGAAAAATTGGAAAAGGTGTGTACTAGTACAGTAACTAATTGCTCCATTATTCTGAATCTATGTCATTATCCATTGTTGTTTTTGCATATCAATCATGTTACTCTTTCTTGTTCGTGAACAAGTCAGATTTTTGGACAATCATTCAGTCGTGTAGATGATACGCCAGCTCATTGGGAACGTAGCATAAAAATAGAGGTTTCTCGTGCCCTTTTTCCTCACCTTTTAGCCCAGTGTCCATCCAACTCGCAACCTTGTCACAGATCGACTGTGGAAGCGTACAAAGCGCAATCGGTTGCCGCGTCTGGTATGAAAAATGCTCACACTCTCGACCTCGAGGAGTGTTTTGCACGGTCTAGTTTGGACGAGAGTAACGGATCACTCCACCTCACAATGCAGAAAAGACTTCTAGTTATCTATGCCATAGCTTGGACCGCGCAAGGTATATTCCCTGGTGATGCCCGTGCTGCTGAGAGGCCTGAACGTGTTCGTTTGCTTGTCAAGCTATGGCAGCCTAGAGACTCTTTCTTCAAGCAGGGGATTCGGATAGATATTCTATAAGCGAAAGTCTATAAGAAGAAGGCCATAGGACAATCATGTCTTGTTATTGAGATAGGTATTAAGCTTTACTAGTCAGGATGAGTACCCGCAGAATGTCAATCGCGTTGCTGCCCGTGTGGAATAGTAGGAGGACTAGAAGCTCATATTTCTGCGCGGTCTGGTATTAGAGCCACAATGATTTCACCGTAGAAGCCGGAAATTCAGCCATTGCGACTTTGAGTCAGGGCTGTCTGTGAAGTGGCGCGCTACTAGTAGGAGTAGTAGTAGTAGTAGTCGTTTACCCATTCTAGGGGTAAGTAAAACTGTGTTGCACAGGGGAGGAGTGTGTGGAAATTGAACTTGGTAGCCAGCCATAATTTTCACACTTGAACGATCTTGCCGCGACTATGGAGGAGAGAAAATGGTTACCCTTTTAACCTCACGCCCTGTCAACACAAAACTCTTAGTGTGCTACAGCAGTCCCTTGTTAGTGCAAAGGCCCGTACTACTTACCAACTGCTGCTCATACAACTAGACAAGTCCTTTAACTGAAGAAGTAACCATTTTCTTTTCTGTTCCTCTTCATAACGAGCTCCGCGAACTCATGCCAGTGGGCACGATCTAAAACCGCTGTCCGTTTGTTTTTCGCGTCGTCAACCACCGCCACTGGCATGCACATGCGACAATCGCGACCGTCTGTGTCTTAGTCTAGAGAAGACTACGACTGCGACTACTACTACTGCTATTCCTACTCCTCCTCTGCTACTCCTAGCACTACTCCTGCTCCTAGTCCTACTACCGCTACGACTACTACTAGCCTTTCTAATATAAGAAACAGAAAGAGCAGAAGATCAAAACTTCTCAAATACTATCGATATCCAAAAATATATTCTTCTTGACCTGTCGAACTGAACATCCGCGTCATAACTCTCCTTGCTTGTCCCGGCACACAGACGGCAGACGAAAGCGGAGGAAGACGATGATGTTGATGGTGTGGTCAATGATGCTGCTGACAACAATGGTGAAGAGGATGGCGTCAACGCTTTGCCCAGTTCCATTTTCGGTACTCGAGTTGCTATTTGGCTCGATCTCAGTGCTTGTGTTTTTCCAGAACACGTGTTCCGCCGCTTCTATCTAAAGACTTATTTCAATACGCGCCGGAGGACACGTGTTCCGCCCCTTCTATCTAAAGACTTATTTCAATACGCGCCGGAGGACAGATATATAAATATTCCAAATATAAAGTGTTGGAAATATCTCCCTTTCGTTGCATGCCTCGTCTCCCATTTGAAGGAGCCAAACAAAGAATTGTGTTTTCCTCCAAAACAGCCGACTCTTACCACATTTGTCACCGAAGTGCTTTGAACATGCTGATCTCTGAACTTGCTACTGTGATATCTGTCGTTGATATGGATCCATCTAGATCTTCCGAGCAAGAACCTTTTCCAATCGACTTTATGCCTATGTAGATCGCCAACCTAGAGGCCCTTCCGTAGCCCAGAATAGAACACACATGTGTAAAAACAGTGCTGATGCACCACCAGGTGGCTCAGTAAGAGTGTCCTAGGTGGCTCACCAGTCGGAGTGAAGATGTACTGTCTGTTTACAGTACGACTACCTGAGCTGTCCCCATCAATTTTGAAATGAGCATCTAGTAAGAGTAGATTGCAATTCTTGCTTGCAAGATTTAAAAGGCAGCATGCTACGATACCCATATATGAGCTACTTGCTTGTAGTCAACAAAGGAGATATCCTGGTCATCTGCTTCGTCTAACAAAACTTGAGTCTGTGCATACAATTCTCAGGTAGCAGGCTTGCTCTTTCTTTCTCTTCTCACCTGTGAAGTAGCATTTGTGCCACCTTGATTTCTTTGCCCGTGCAGCGTCTATGCTGTCAGAATAGAAGGAGAAATTTAGTTCTTGTACTCCAACAAAAATGTCTAAGAAAGTGAGACGTCGGCAGCCGGGGAAGTTAGGTCTTTTGCTGCCAAGATCGATGAATATGCAACCATCTTTCGTATTGCTTGACGCGGTGCTGCTTCTTCATTCTTACAAACTCGCCAAAGTTCCTCTCCTTCTTCGACGATGCAACGACCTCAATCATACAGCGTTCTCCATCAGCACCAAATCGTTTTTTTCCGGCACAGAGTACCTCCCCAACTCACTAGATCAAGGCGGCGTCGGTCACCAGAAGTCATGGTCATTGTCCCATTAAATCGAGGAATCACTTTGTTCGTATTTTTGATTACTTCTGGTACTGTTCTAAAATACTGAGAATAATTTCTACGGTGATCTCACCAACCAATTTCCATTCCATTACAATTACAAATTTTGCGATTAGTTCGACGCACCAGCAGCGGTGGGCGCAGAGAAAGCAAACATTTCACAGACACAAAGAGAAAGGTATAGAAAGACTGAAAAGGTATCACAATCAAGTAGCGTAGGTATTTACTACTCTTCCTTCATCACCCTCACGCATTTCAGCAGGCATATAGACGAAGCTTACACTTGGTTACAGTCTGACCAGAGGATCTTGGAATGATCAAATCAAAACCCCCACAACGATTGATTGTGATCTCATATTTAGACCTCTCGGATCACCTTAGAGGATAATGATCAAGCTCAAAAAATGGATCCAAAAAAAAAGTCATCTCCGCGTTGTGTCCCAGGAAAGCCGTCCAAGGCATTTGATTCTTGTCATCTTCGTACTGTCGGATCCACTTTTCTTTCTTCTGATTTGTTGAGCAGTTACTAGCGATTCAGGCCATGCGGCCCTGTGACTTTAAAACTTAGACTGCAACGCCTAGAGGACGAACACCGTTGAACCAGACAGACTGATGAATAGCGTTGGTAGAGAAACTCGAACTAGATCGCTCTTGATTGACCCTTGGTGTTTCCTTTGGCAGTAACTGGACCACTAGTTGTGCTGACTTTGTTGTACAGGACATTGAAAAATTAGTTGGAACCAGACGTGGTCGTCATGAGTCGAGGTGTCACAATTCACAAAAACATAATTCAAAAATAATGCATAGATAGTGTTTCAAAACTGACGATTGAGGTTGTGTCTGCTTCTTCATTCTAAACAAAATTGGTGGCTTTTTCATGACACAAGGTGATATATCACATCTCCTTCCTCTCCGTGAGGAAATTGTAGTAGTAATTAGCCACGTCATGATGCTTGTGTCACTTCTAGTAGTGTCGTATCCGCTTCGCCTGCGGCTGCAACTTCGACGTCCCCCCTTTGCGCTCGCACAAACTTGATGTTGATTATTCGATACGGCAACGGCACTGGTTCATTTCCTTCGAGCACTGGTTTTTTGAACAGGGACTTCATGAGTTCTTGTTCTATTGTTGTTGTACACACTGCTTCGAACTTGACTTGTTCACTGTGGACAGCCAAAAGGTCTTTCAGCAACTCTTCGATTACGCCATTGACATCAACAGGACTTGCCTCCGTCCGCTTGTAATACAAATCTACTCTGAATTTCTTCTCCTCCTCCTCGTTGGTGGCTGAACTCACATCGTCACCGCGAATTGTCTTCTCGAACTCCTGCGCACCTTCTGCAGCTACTCCGTCGTCCAACTCGATAATTGAGAAGCGTTGACTCGAGTCGGTCTCGATGCCGAGCGCCTTCTTCCAAGTGTTCTCAATGCCCTGTGTTTAGAACTGTCCGCAATTCATCTCCCAAGGGCATCCTTGAAAAGTATGGGAGAGCATTCCCTTGTGATACTCCCCCATACGTTTCCGGGATGCTGCCAAAGATGGATTAGCTAAGGCCTTAAGATATCGTTTGAGCGGGCAGTAGCGAATTGCTGCTACCGCTGCGTAGCGAATTGCTGCTACCGCTGCGTTGTTTTATGATTTCGAATTCCTTTGCTAGTACGTACTTGTGACGGCACATTTTCGCAAAAATTTTGTGAAGAAGATCTCCTCCATCTTCCTGTAGGACAGTTAGTTGGTTCTTGACGGACAACGGATCGCTTTCTAAGTGCATCTGTTTCTTCGAGGAGCGGTCTCCCGTATTCGTAATATCATATATCCAGCTGGGATACTGATTAGGCTGTTGGAGACGGATGGTGTAGACAGCAGGAAAGAACGGGGGTTTCCCAGGATAATCCTCGTAGAAGTATGCCTGCACTGTTTTTTCTACTTCATCTAGTCTTTTTTCTGCTAGTTGTTGACGAGTCTTCGGCAGTAAGGGCAGAAAACCCGCGTCAAATGAACCCTGCAAAAATCTCACTGACCTTGCTAAGCGCCGTTGCGCTTCTATTCTTGTCAGATGTTCTTGTTGCTGACCTAGATAGGCATGACACTGCTGTAGCCCCGAACGACACGTTTCTATACTATTAACTGCCTGCTCAGGCATCCGAGGAGTTTTCGCTAGATCCTTCACCAAACCTGCAGCTTCTTCTTCCTTCGTCTTGTGCTGTCCCTGGCCCTGCAGCTGGGCACTTCGTGTCACTGTAGTTGCTCTTGCTCCTGGGGCTGAAACTGAACCTCCATCTACATCTATAATACTGTTTTCACCTCGCACACCGTTTTCAGCTGATGCTGGTGACGCTTCCTTCGCTTGCTCATATCCTGCAGCGCTTGATTCTCGCTGCGCGCAGCGAGCCGCAGACGCGTGATGCTTTTGGAGTAGCTCGTTCATTTCGTTTTGATGTCTTTGCAGAAGTTCGTAACCTTCTTTGTGATGTCGTCTCTGAAGCGCTTCCGTTTCCTGTGCTTGCTGCTGGCACTCTGATTGCCCCACGTCGGACGATGCCTTCCTGATTAGAGGCACCAAGAGCACAGCTTTTTGGCCACCTTTTAGCTTTTTTCAAGTGGCAAATGGCTAAAAGATGCTGTAAAAGATGGCCGTAACTTGAGACAAAAAGTGTCGTCGCCCAGCTTGCCAGCACAGTCACTGTGACTGTTCCCGTCACGCTCTACTCCCTCCCGAACGGCCTCATCTGGTGTTTCGTGGATAAACAAGCATGATCACGATGCAGCAGCAGAAGTGTAGAAATACCGAAGGTCGAGACTATGATCCTACACATATTGGCATGTACTGCACGTCTGGCTAATCACACACAAAAAAAACTACTTACATGAGCGAATCGCAGCAAGAAGCAGCTACACCATGTCTATTCCCTTGGTACAACTACAAAAAATGAGTAAAGATTACTCAGCGCGTCCCCGCGTGCGCTTCCCTCCACAGCGTCATACGCGGATACACCGGGCAAGGAGACGAACGGTAAAGGTGCCAACAAGAGCGTCCAACCTGCACTGAAAAGCGCAGTGAGTGTTGCTATTAGAAGAGGGACGATGATACAACATACTTAATATCTCGCGACCCCGTCGTCCGTCGTTGTCATCAATAGGTAAGATGATGTGCAAATATTACCCAAGATGGAGGAGCAGCGGACCTCAACGACCAGCTGTGGTCGACTCAAATAGTTTCGTTCTCTTACACACGTCTTAGCCTTTTAGCCGTAAGGTAGAGGGTCCAGAAGTGAAGGCACCCGCGGCCCCCCGCCTGTCGTATTTCCCACTATCGCAGCCTAAGGCGGAGAATGTCAAAATTGTCAACATTGTGCCTATCACCTTCGCGGCCCCGTTTGTACGAAAAGTGCCTGCAAGTCCTGCTTTCCGATCACCAGCCAGAGCCACAGTTCTGCGTACGGGGTTCTACTAGAAGAATGAGCACTTCTTATCTTCTTCTTCACTTGAAGATTACCTTTACCGCGGCAACCCGGGTCAAATCAATGTGCGACCGCAGTAACGGATACAGAGATGCAAAAACCACGATAAGTGGGGCTTTCTTTTAACGTCATTCCTCTTGTATCCTGTTCGTTTTTTGATTGATTGGAATCCCGAGTTAGTACTCCTTGACTACCGGTGATTTTGTGTCCATCGTAAACGAACTTCTTTTTATTCTTATTCTCCTTGAATCTTTTTTTTCTACAGATCATCAGATAAACGTTGGGGCGGTGTTACAACCGACTCAACAAGGCGTCGCTCGATCATCGCCAATTGTCTGCTCTTTTTCCTTACTGTTTTTACCTTTAGACCCGCGCTTCGCGCACAAACCACTATCAGTATCACTATGTAGAAGGGCCATCATCGTTCTCGTGAGAAGCCTGGCACACTCTTCACTCCCTTCACCTCTCAGTAATTGAAAGAGGAAGACGCCCCTTGCCTATCAATTTTGTGTCTCCTGTTCCTGCTCCCTTTGCTCCTTAATCTTGCCTTCACGCTCACAAGCTCAAAAACCAAGAGACGACGAAAGTGAGCCCACAAAGGCACCACATGATTGAGTCGACCCACCAAGAGCAAATCCTGACGCATGACGCAAATTCTTAGAGTGTAGCAACGTTTTGTGTTTGAGACGAAAAGGTTTGCAGATATAGATTATCGCCCTGAGAAGGCGTATGCTGTGCAGTCGTCAGCAGGAAAGTAGGCTATACAGAACTTTGCGAAGACTGACAAGACCTTTATTGCGTCTTTTGCCCTGTGTTAAGAATTTTCTGAACCTATGTAGAAAATGTAAGTGGTGTTGTGCTACCCAATCCATTCAAGAAGCGGCGACCCTCCTCGCTTCACATGGTTCTATTCCTTAACCCCCGCGTCTAAAAGTAATTCGCTGGCGCAACACCTTCACCTATCTCAAAGAAATAACGCACTGCAAGCATTCAGATCACGCGAAGCCTAGTCACCACCCTTCTGAAACGAATGACGCGAAGAAGAGGCTGCGACCGATAAGGGGAACAGAAACGAGACAAAGCCGAAGGCTTTTTTGCATTTTCTTGCCCACTCTGGTTGCTGTTCCTATTGTTGTTGCTGTTGTTGTTGTCATACCGATGAACGGCCAAGCAAGTAGCGCAGCGGCAGGGGTTAACTGCCAGGGGCTTACCAGATAAGTCACACGCACAAGGGCACGCAGAAACTGGGCACGCCCACTCACTGGCCCAACGCCTACCAGGTTAGGGATTCACACGCGTGGGCATTGGTTTGGCGTTCATCATCTTGAAAACGCAGCTTGCTCACACAATGAACGCAGCGCATTGAAGTAAGCGCATCCACCGCGAAGGTGGTAGAAAGAAAAAACTCATCCATGGTATATAGGGCGCCATGCCTTGGGGGGAAGCAGTTAATACGAAGACGATGACGCTGCTTTGATTCTTTTACTTAGTGGCCCTAGCCACAACGCCACAGCGCTTACATTTGCTTTCGTTCTTTTGATCCCTTGGATCTCTGGTTTTTCTCGTGCTACTTTGAGCACTTTGAAGAAGATCCCTCGGCAAGTTCTTGCGCCTTCAGTTCCAGCGAGACAAAGGCAACAGCCTGACCGAGTAATTGATAGGCAGATGACTGCGTAGAGGCAGGCGCGCGCCGCAATTGCTCCGCTTGTAGTTCAAACATACGGGCACGCAGCTTGGTCAGCCGCGCATCTTCGCCGCACTCTTTTGGCCTTTTTGCCTTAGCATGCTGACAAGCTCAGAAACGCGAAGAGCATAGAACCCGAAGCACCGCCGAAGACCTCCATGCGCCATTTGCCTACTCTTTCACGCCACTAGACTCCTCGCCTTCTTACTCTTTCTACATCGATCAAGCCCCAGCCTCAGAGCCACTGACAGCACCAAGCTGAAATGCGCACTGCGCTCTTTGGAATCTCTTAAAGCAAGCAGGAGGCAGATGACCTCCGCTAGCTTGTCCTAGTGGGTTTGGTGTTGGACTAGTGACACCACCCCGCTCTTTGATCTCCATACACTTCTGGAGGACAAGACGTCCGCCACTTCAGCCAGGCCCTCGATACAGTCCAGAACTTTGAGCGCGTTGCATTTCCGCGATTCTAACGCCAAGCATCACCAGAGTTGTAGCGCAGGTGTCTTGTCTTGTACAGTGGGACCATGCTCACGCTGTTGCCATTGTCTCCAGAGGCTGAGTCCCCTGGCCTTCTTCTTCATCTTGTCCGCCTTCTTGGTCTTTTTCTTCGTGGGGTGCTCCTTCAAGGTCTTGGCGGATATGGTCACCTTCTTGCCTGCTCTTCTTTTTCTTGGAAGGCGTTTCACGCTTCTTCTTGTTCTTCTTGCCTTTTGCGCTCTTCTTCGGCTTCTCATTGCCTTCCTGTGATTCAGGGGCAGGCGATGAGCCTGCTCCCGATGATGAACTACCGCTACCACTATCAGCACCCGAGTCAGATGGTGACCTCTCACCAAGGCCAGACACTCCCCCAGATGTTGAAAGCAAGCCCTGGGGCTCTAGCTCCGATTCCTTCTGCTTCTTGTTCTCCTTGGTGGAAAGTTTTGACGCGCCTGCTTCGCTCGGCTCGTGGAAACTACTGGCCCACGACTTTGATCACCGTCGCCCCTGGCCTGCATTTTCTCGAACGCTGGGGCGCCTGGTGCTGGCCCCTTGGCTTGACATCCATAGCGCCAGGCGTGGATGCTTTTTCAGTAGCGGAATCCCGACCGCTTACTTCAGCCTCCAGCCTGTTGCTGCATTCGTTTCCCCTATCGGCTGCAGCTGTGCCGTCGGTTGTAGTTGAAGAAGATGCAACACTGGGGCCGCCCTTGCTCTTCTTGCTCTTCTTCATCCTCTTCCCCTCCTTTCCTTTCGTGTGCTTGCACGGAGGCGGCGCGCCTGCTGCTGCTCCTGAAGCTCCTGCGCAAGTTGGGCCCCTAACTCTGTGAAGAGATTACCTACGACAGACCGATGAGGAGAACAAGAACGGGGCAAAGCCGGAGGCTTTTCTATTTCCTTGCCCTGGTTGTTGTCCCTGCTGTTGTTGTTATACCAATGAACAGCCAAGCAATAAGCGCAGGGCCAGGGATTGGCTGGCCCCTAGTTTCCTCACTTAGCTCGGTGCACAATGATACGCAGAAACTGGGCGCGCCAATTTCTTGACTTGGCTCAAGGCCTGCAGTGTTAAGGATTCACGTGGGTGCTGGTTTGATGTTCGCCATGTTCTTCACCCTCGACGTCTGGCCCTTGTGTTTTAGCAAGCTGACGAGCCCAGAAACAAACACGAAGGGCACAGAACTGAGAACACCGTCGGGGATCTCCGTGCGCCACTTGCCTACCCTTTCATGCCACTAGCTTCCTCACTTTCTAGTCTTACTCTTTCTATATCGATCAGATCACGAATACGCAACAAATGAAAAGCGAACTTCGAGCATTCTGTAGGGCGAAAACGCTCCGTACTTTGGCTCGGGTGTTTCACATGTTACTACGAAGCTATATATATACCGACCACTGGAAGGAGACTCTACCTTTCCCTTGAGATATTGAATCACCTCTCCAGCATCAGTAAAGTGACTCCCCGTAAGGCGTACATTTTCCAGTCCATCGCGAAGACCACTGGTGAAATATTCATAGAAGTCCCTCATTCTGACCTGGCGCGCCTCGTTCTCGTCTGTGCCGGCGATTTGAGTTGTGAACCGTCCTACGTCTTAGATAGAGCTCAAAACAATTCACTTCTTGCCTACATTTCTTCCAAGCCTAGGAAGGAGCTAATTAGAAATGACTTATAGAAATGAAGTAAGTATATTGACCCTTAACCGTCTGCCCCCTGGATGCCAAAGGTCTCCCTCAGTTCCATGGCTATGTCCGGCACATGCGCGAGGTCGCGCGCCCTAACCCCCCCCTCCATTAAGATAAAAAAGCCCATCATCATCAAAAAACACTGACCGCGAATTTTTTTTGCCTTTGAGTAGCTGGCTTGGGCTAACCAGTCCACCTGAAGGGTGGGCTGGGGAACGGCTGGTGGCGAGACGGGCTAGCGACGGCGGGTCTGCGAGGGTCTTCAGAAGACCGGCGACCGGCCTCCGCCAAAGGTTGGCACTAGGGATCCGCGAAGACTCAAAATTGGGGACTGGTTCTCTTCTCTTGTGGTTCCGATGAGCGGGCTTCCTCAGCTAGATTGGTCGACAGCTTCATGCAACAGAAAGGCGCCAGCAAAGGTGTCGCCAGCCTCTGAGCTTAAAGGCGTTGATGGCTTTTATTGGGCCGCATTTTTGACGAGGTCCGCCCACTAGAAGTCGGCGCTTTTGCTTGGGAAAGACAAGCAGTGCGCGGACCCTCATGCAAAAAAAAAAAACCATCAAGGCTTTGTTGCTGGATCCTCATGCATCAACAAAACCCAACAGGAGCGAAATCCGCGACAACTTTCAGGCAAAAAAGCAGCAGTTTTCGCGACACATTTGACGAGAAATCTCCGAAGGGATTGGCCATGGTCTCCAAACGTCCACAGGACTCCAGAAAGCCATGGTATGGGGATTTGCAGATCGTGCGCGACGCTCTCAGGTGGAGATCCATCGCGCGCCAGCCTTCCAAAGCAGCACAGCCGCGCCCTCCCCAACCGCAGCCGCAGAACCCTAGCTCTTCACACTCACGGGCTACCCGCTTCATTTCCCGGGTCACCTGTGTACTCAGCAAGGAAGCAAATTTTTTGGAATTGCTGTCAGTGATTTGAGGATGATGAGTTTCTTTATCGTAACGCTCCGTCTGTCAACTTGATAATCATCATGACCCTGCAAAAATGTCTTCTCAGCGTCGAAGTCGTAGTCACCACGGCACATCTGCGCAAAAACCTCCTGATCTTCAAGGAGTGTCAGCTGTTGCATGATAGGGGCCGGCGAGTGCTTATTGTATCTGATGTGGATGATATTGAGAGGAAGGGCAACGCGCTCAACATCGCCAGCCGGCGCACCGCTTGCCACGATAGTTAGACTTCTGCGCGATTCAGCTTTCGGCTGCATCTTTGAAAAGTATGGAGGAGCGTTTTCCCCCAACGATACTTCGCTCCCCATACCTTTGCTCAAGAATGGCACAGTCGAGGATGAAATCATGACAGCCTTAACATGTAGTTCTTTGTAACGCTCGTATGCTGCGTCCATTCTCGTCTGTTATTTTCAACATTCTCATCCGCTAACTTCACAAAGTCGACAAAGTTTTCGCTTTGAGGTGGCGCTCGAGCATGAGGTCTTCCAGGCAGCTCGTGCGCTACAACTTCGCCTTGTGAAATCCCCTGTCGTTGTGATGGGGCTGCAGCGAGAAGGGCGCTTCGCGTTGCAGTAGGTCCTAGTGTTCGACTTTGCTGCTGTTGTACTAGATCTTGTATTGTTAGAGCCTCCTGGAATCCTTCTTGAGTGTCATCCTGGACTTGCTTTTCCCTTAGAGGAAGGTCCCAGGATGCTTCTGGAGATGGGTTACCTGAAGCCTTAATATTGTCTTTCTTACTACCGCTAGATCTTCGTGGCACCGACTCACTGCTAGGCGACACTCCTCCGGACTCATCTCATCTCGTACCGTGTCGCCCTCTCCCACAAATTAGAGCTTGACAATAATTTCTTGGAATTTGTATCAAAGAAAAGTTGCAAGCAAGTGGTAAAAAAGAAAGAAAGCAAGTGGTAAAAAAGAAAGAAAACAAGAAAAATCGTAGTGTTTGAATAAATCGTAGCGTTTGAAAGAAGCAGCAGACCAGATGCCTAAGATTCAACGGGAAAACTACTGAGAGAGATCAAAGCGATGGATTTTTTTTGTAGGCTTTCAAAGGATACAATTTGTAGGCATCTGGGGATGACTTTTGTAGAATCTTGTAGTAGTCGATTTGTAAGGAATCGACCAAAATCCTTCCTATTGAAAAAATCGAACGCTTTGAATAAAATCGACCCCTTTGAAACAAAATCGACCCGTTTGAAAGAAAGCGAAGCCCCTGCACAAGCACCACCAGCCAAAACCGAGCCCCCGAGCAGCATACATAGCTTCAATTTGCGACGCCACCCAGCTGCCCCGCGCGATCCACTCTAACCCAGCACACCTCCAGCCCGCTCTCCCCTCCGTCACTCATTCAAGCACGCCGCCGAGTCGAGGACACACCCACGCCGCCACAATCTCGCGCCCCCGCTCTTTCAAGGCGGTCAGGCGGTTTCTACAAGCCCCTAGCCCAGGCGCAGCCCCATTCCTTCGCCCTCGAGGCAGCGCGACCTGCGGCCCGGCAGCCCCCACCCAAGGCTAAGACATGCTCAGCTTCAGCCGCGCCCGCTTCATGTAATCGCAAGGAGGTCGGGCGGCAAGGGAGCACGCAAGCCCCAAGGCAATCCTGCGCGGCTTCGTTCTCATTCTGGGACAGCCCAGCAAGAGTCTCAGCCACTCCCGACCCAGCCAGCCCTGGCATGTTTCTTTGCAGCTACATGCACCCTGGTCCCATCTACTTGCCCCAAACTCACAAGGCACGCCTCGCGCTGACTCATCACAAGACGCGGCTCACAGCACTCACAAGACACAAGACAACCCGCACCCGCAAGACGCGGCCCGCGCTCAGAGTCACAAGGCACGAAGCAAACCCAAAAGACACGAACCACACCCGCAACCAAGACGCGACTCGCACTCACACGACGCGACTCACAACCACCCAGCGTGGCCCTCTCTCTCACACTCCCAAGACGCGGCCCATACAACTCAGAAGACGCGGCTCAGCTCACACTCAGAAGGCGCGGCTCAGCTCACACTAAGAAGGCGCGGCGGGTACTCACACGACACGACTCACACCCGCCAAGCGGGACCCCCTCACACTCGCACGACGCGACTCACACCCACAAGACTCACTGGCGCGGCTCGCACTCACTCACAAGCCCACTCATTCGCGAGACGTGCGGAAGACATACTCGCAAGAATCGACTCACCCACGCTCCCACGACGTGGCTCGCATTCACACAACGCAGCTAACACTCGCAAGCTGCGGCCAGCTCGCATTTCTTCACAAGAGGAGACGCGGCCCACACTCAAAAGAGCAAGACCCGACGCACACTCAGTCTCACGCGACACGACTCACGTCCGAGAGAGTTTGGCTCGCTCTCCTTGGCACGACATCCGTGAGGGAGCACGACGCGCACACAGCTCGCAAGACACGACGCACAGCCACTCGCCTGACAGGGTTCACACTCACAAGACGCGCCTCGCAGACTGCTCGCAAGACGCGGCCCACACTCGCAAGACGCGAACCGCACGCGCGAGAGGCGGCCCACACTCACACGACGCGGGCGCCGCTCGCACTCACTAGATGCGGCGCATTCTCACACGACGCGACGGACGCACACCCACAAGACGCGGCGCCCGCGCACTCAAGAGACGCGGCGCACACTCGCAAGACGTGGCCAGTACTCACACGACACGGCTCACACTCGCCGAACATGGCCCCTCGCTCGCACTCACAAGACGCGGCCCACACTCACACGACACGGCTCGCATTCACAAGAATAGACGCAGCGCGCTGCGCACTCACAAGACGCGACCCGAACTCACAAAACACAACCGCCCACACGCGCAAGACGCGGCTCGCACTCCTCGCAGGCCAAGACTCACGCGCCCCACACTCGCAAAGGAGACAAGCCACAGACTCACACTGACAAGACGCGACCCCCTCACACTCGCAAACTACCGCGGCGCGCGCTCACAAGTAGACGCGGCCTATCCTCACAACCACAAGCAGACGCGGCCCACGCTCACAAGTAGACGCGGCCCACGCTCGCAAGTGGGCGCGACTTACGCTCACAAGTGGACGCGGCTCGCTCACACTCGCAAGACGCGGCCCACACTCACGAAATGTGACTCACGCACACAATTGCAAGACGCAGCCCACACTCACACGACACGGCTCACACTCACAAGAGACAGAGAACGCGGCTCGCACTCGCCAAAGAAGATCCTGCCCGCACTCCCTCGCAAGACCGACGCGGCCAACACTGAATCGCGCGGCGCGGCTCACACTCGCAGCACGCGACCCACACTCACAGCACGCGACCCACACTCGCAGCACGCGGCCCACACTCACACGACGCGGCCCACACTCACACGACGCGCCCTGCACGACAAGACCCACACGACGCGACTCACGCGACGCGACCCACACGACGCGACCCACACGACGCGGCTCATACTCACAAGAGAAGGCAAGGCGCAGCCCACACTCGCAAGACGCGAACCACACTCACAAGACGCGGCCCACACTCGCAAGACGCGACTCACTCACACTCGCAAGACGCGACGCGCATCCGCAAGGCAAGACGCGGCCCGCACTCACAAGACGCGACTCACAAGGCGCAACGAACTCACACTCGCAGAACGCAAATCGCACTCGCAAGACGCGGCGCGCGCGACTCGCTAAGCACGACCCACACTCGCAAGAACAGAAGCGGCTCGCGCTCACACAACGCGACTCGCAAGACCCACCCGCCCAGCTGGCACTCGCGAGACGCGACCCGCAAGACGCGGCTCGCACTCACAAGACGCGGCTCACCCTCGCAAGACGCGACTCGCACTCGCAAGACGCGGCTCGCACTCTTAAGACGCGACTCGCACTCTTAAGACGCGACTCGCACTCGCAAGACGCGGCCCGCACTCGCAAGACGCGGCTCGCACTCGCAGGACGCGACTCGCACTCGCAGGACGCGACTCATACTCGCAGGACGCGACTCGCACTCGCAAGACGCGGCTCGCACTCGCAGGACACGACTCGCACTCGCAAGACGCGACTCGCACTCGCAAGACGCGACTCGCACTCGCAAGACGCGACTCGCACTCGCAAGACGCGACTCGCACTCGCAAGACGCGACTCGCACTCGCAAGACGCGACTCGCACTCGCAAGACGCGACTCGCACTCGCAAGACGCGACTCGCACTCGCAAGACGCGACTCGCACTCGCAAGACGCGACTCGCACTCGCAAGACGCGACTCGCACTCGCAAGACGCGACTCGCACTCGCAAGACGCGACTCGCACTCGCAAGACGCGACTCGCACTCGCAAGACGCGACTCGCACTCGCAAGACGCGACTCGCACTCGCAAGACGCGACTCGCACTCGCAAGACGCGACTCGCACTCGCAAGACGCGACTCGCACTCGCAAGACGCGACTCGCACTCGCAAGACGCGACTCGCACTCGCAAGACGCGACTCGCACTCGCAAGACGCGACTCGCACTCGCAAGACGCGACTCGCACTCGCAAGACGCGACTCGCACTCGCAAGACGCGACTCGCACTCGCAAGACGCGACTCGCACTCGCAAGACGCGACTCGCACTCGCAAGACGCGACTCGCACTCGCAAGACGCGACTCGCACTCGCAAGACGCGACTCGCACTCGCAAGACGCGACTCGCACTCGCAAGACGCGACTCGCACTCGCAAGACGCGACTCGCACTCGCAAGACGCGACTCGCACTCGCAAGACGCGACTCGCACTCGCAAGACGCGACTCGCACTCGCAAGACGCGACTCGCACTCGCAAGACGCGACTCGCACTCGCAAGACGCGACTCGCACTCGCAAGACGCGACTCGCACTCGCAAGACGCGACTCGCACTCGCAAGACGCGACTCGCACTCGCAAGACGCGACTCGCACTCGCAAGACGCGACTCGCACTCGCAAGACGCGACTCGCACTCGCAAGACGCGACTCGCACTCGCAAGACGCGACTCGCACTCGCAAGACGCGACTCGCACTCGCAAGACGCGACTCGCACTCGCAAGACGCGACTCGCACTCGCAAGACGCGACTCGCACTCGCAAGACGCGACTCGCACTCGCAAGACGCGACTCGCACTCGCAAGACGCGACTCGCACTCGCAAGACGCGACTCGCACTCGCAAGACGCGACTCGCACTCGCAAGACGCGACTCGCACTCGCAAGACGCGACTCGCACTCGCAAGACGCGACTCGCACTCGCAAGACGCGACTCGCACTCGCAAGACGCGACTCGCACTCGCAAGACGCGACTCGCACTCGCAAGACGCGACTCGCACTCGCAAGACGCGACTCGCACTCGCAAGACGCGACTCGCACTCGCAAGACGCGACTCGCACTCGCAAGACGCGACTCGCACTCGCAAGACGCGACTCGCACTCGCAAGACGCGACTCGCACTCGCAAGACGCGACTCGCACTCGCAAGACGCGACTCGCACTCGCAAGACGCGACTCGCACTCGCAAGACGCGACTCGCACTCGCAAGACGCGACTCGCACTCGCAAGACGCGACTCGCACTCGCAAGACGCGACTCGCACTCGCAAGACGCGACTCGCACTCGCAAGACGCGACTCGCACTCGCAAGACGCGACTCGCACTCGCAAGACGCGACTCGCACTCGCAAGACGCGACTCGCACTCGCAAGACCGACGCGACTCGCAAGACGCGACTCGCACTCACACTCGCAAGACGCACGCGACGCGCACTCGCAAGACGTGACTCACTCGCACTCGCAAGACGCGGCGCGCACTCACACGACGCGAATCACACCCACACGACGCGACTCACACCCACAGGACGCGGCTCGCCCTCGCTAGACGCGGCCCACGCTCGCAGGTGGACGCGGCTCGCACTCGCAAGGCGCGAACATCACTCACACGACACGCATCCCCACACCCACAAGGCGCCCGCGGCTCAAAATCGCAAGACGCGACTCACACTCGCAAGACGCGGCTCCGTCACACTCGCGGGACGCGACTCACATTCGCAAGACGCGGCTCTTATTCACAAGACGCGGCCCGCACTCGCGGGACGCGACTCACGCTCGCAGAGCGCAGCTCGCACCCACTCGCACGACGCGGATCACACTCGCACGACGGGGCTCGCACTCACACGACGGGGCTCGCACTCGCAAGACGCGGCTCGCTCGCACTCGCAAGACGCGGCCCGCGCTCGCACGACGCGGCTCGCACTGACTCGCAAGACACGACTCGCAAGGCGCGACCCGCACTCGCAGCACGCGACGCGGCCCGCTTTCGCAGCAGGCACGCGGCCCGCACTCGCAGCACGCGGCCCACACTCGCAGCACGCGGGCCGCACTCGCAGCACGCGCATCACACTCACAAGATGCGGCGCGCACTCACAAGACGCGGCCCGCACTCACAAGACGCAACTCGCAGCACAGACATGGCTCACACTCGCAGCACGCGACCCACACCCGCAGCAAGCGACTCGCACTCGCAGGATGCGGCTCGCACTCGCAGGACACGCCGCGCACTCGCAGAACGCGGCGCACAAGGCGCGGCCCGCACTCACAGAGAGCTGCTCGCACTCACACGACGCCCGCAGCTCACACTCACAAGACGCACGCGGCTCGCACTCGCACGGCGCAGCCAGCTCTGGCAGTCGCACCCACAAGGCGCCGCGGCTCAGCCTTGCACTCGCACGACGCGGCTCGCACTCGCAAGGCGCGACGGCGGCTCGCACTCGCAAGACGCGGCCCGCACTCGCAAGAGGCGGCTCGCACTCACACAGCGCGGCCACTCACCCCCGCAATCCACGGCGCACACTCGCAGCACGCGGCTCGCACTCACAGGACGCGGCTCGCACTCGCAAGACGCGGCCCGCCCACATTCGCAAGGCGTGACGCGCAAGACGCGGCCCGTGCTCGCGCTCGCGCTCGCACTCACGCGCGCCCTCGCACGACGCGGCTCGCACTCGCAAGACGCGGCTCGCACTCGCAGGACGCGACTCACACCCGCAAGACGCGACCCACACTCGCAAGACGCGACCCGCACCCGCAGGACGCGCCTCGCACTCGCAAGAGCAAGACGCGGCTCGCCAAGACAAGGCCGCGCCCTACCTACGGCGCGCACTCGCAAGACGCGGCGCGCACTTGCAAGGCGCGGCCCTCCCTCGCAGGGCGCGGCTCGCTCTTGCAAGGCCCGGCCACCTCCGTCCCCTCCTTAGTAACGCAGCAATTCAAACCCCCCCTTTTTTCAAACGCGCCGATTTTCAAACGACCCGATATTTGCGCGTCTTCCATTTTTTTGTGTTGTGTTTTTTTTTTTGTATGCCTAAGCAAAATCTAAAGAACGGAGAAAACATCAGAATACTACAAGTGTAGCGGGATGAGGATTTATTCAGCCATAAGACGAGACTTGTAATAAACTGCCTGCTTGCGGTGACAGTCGGTGGATAAAGCTGGAGGCTCTGGGAGCCCTGTCGTCCTCGTCCTCATCAGTGTCTGTCAGATCCCCGAATTCATACTTGCGGTCTCGCTGGGAATCTGAGGATGGGAACGTTTATTCCTGTGGTGGTAACAACTCTCCTAGATTCTGATTTCTTACAGTCTAAAAATAGTACAGTCTCAGAGTACAGTCTTGTAGATAATTCTACTACCAATTATACTGGTTTCTCGCCAACAAGTATGTATAAACAAAGTCTAACTGAATGGTCCCCATCAAAAGGCAATAAAGTACGTAGCCAGTCTCTGGATGTCATATCTGTGGCGTTCTGTGTGACGCTGTACCCGTATACGCTGACCAAAGAACAAGACGGTAAGATTACAGAATGCAGAATTAGACCCCATCAGAACATCCCTGGCGCCTTTTTTAAGTAGAAAAAAGGCCAAGGATGGTCTAGTACTGGGGAATGAAATTTGGTGGTAGCCCTTAACGGTAATAAGATCGACGACAGCGGTCCCACTGAACCAAAAGCCGCAGCAATCGTTGCTCGTCTTAGAGAAGGTGGAGGAATCTTGGACTTTAAAGAGGCCATAAAAGGCCACTGACAGCATCAAGATCAACAACAAAGTCTGAATCTGATATTGATCATTTAGATCTCTGTTTACATTGTTCTGATCACTTCACAAAAATATTCAGACATGTAGTTGAAATGTTTAAAGGCTCCTGTCTCACGAAAGATGAAAGTCTACATTTCAAATGCAATGGACCAACATCAACACCTCAGAGACCCTTTTTCTAAGCCTTAGGGTTGAGGACCGCAAACCGAAAGTGCCAACAGGTCGCTGTCCACGATGTCCGGCCGTCGCCGTGTGCTCCCGGAGTAAGGCAAAGGAAAGGAAGACTTGTAAGAGCAACATTGTGACCTTCGCCGTTCCGTGCCTCACTCGCTTGAGAAACATCCTCAGAATCGATGCGTCTGTCTCAAGATACTGCACTTGTCATGCCAACATGGCAGCTCCTAGTCCTACTTCATGGCATCTGAAGATGCACTTGTCATTTCATGGCAGCTCCTACTTCATGAAACCTACTTCATGGCATCTTTTTTTTGTGTCCTACTATCTACTTCAGAAGGATGTGCGTCTCAGGATGTTTGTACTACTAGTAAAACACGAAGCCTCACAACTTGCGACAAGTCTTTCAAAGCACTTAGTCGGCAAGCACTCGGCCGGTGATCACGACGAAGTGCAGCAAAGAGGTAGTATGAAGTCGGCAAAGCGGAGCGCAGCAACTGCATGCATGCTGTAGTCCCTGTTTCTACCATCGTTCATGATGGCCATACATGCTTTTTCACATCCGAGCTCACAAACACAAACACGATGATGAGGAATCTCTAGTACTATCTTCGATACGTGCAAATCATGATAGTTGTCTCTTTCTGTTGACACTGCTCTACCTTTTTATTACATGCTCTTTCTTGTTTCAGCACTTCGTTATTTGCGATCATCATTTTGTGGAGTCCCAATTTTCACCCTAAGTTGTACATTACGAGCTACCAAGCCTCACAACTCATCGCAAGCTCTCTGAATCCCTCGAAAAGACGCCGTTTGGACTTGATCAGTCATCCGATAAATGGTCATATGTCCAAAAATCGTATTTTTCGGACTTTTCCTATTGTGTTCTATATTTTCTAAACTTCTCTCAAGAACCTCGTTTTCGCGAACACGCGATTGGTGTGAGACGAACCAAGGTGGTAGTATTTGTTTCTTCAGGATTGTTCTTCCACAAGTGGAGGCCTCAATTACTGATGCTAAAATAATCACAGAATGGGTTTGTCGGTTTCTTATTCACATGTTCACTAACGATTGTCTTCATTCATATGGTTACTGGTTCCATGAGTCACGGGTCCATCGGATTCTTCGAAGCAACAAACAGAAGAACCAAGTTCATTGGGGACGATAGAATTTAAGAAACATCGGGTCTCATAGAAATTCTGATATCTTTCCATTCTTGTTCAAAAAGTATCTACAGATACATGAACAAACGTCGATCTTACCTTTTTCACTTAAATGAGAGAAGGCGGACCTGGGTCCCTTTTTTTCCGTTAGGTGAAGATGCCTCCCTTGTTGTCTGACATTTTTATGTACGAAAATATGCGTGATCATCTGAGATAGTATTTCTTGATGAATGTTATTAATCTTCGTGATACTACTCACAACATGGTCATGATGAAGTGTGCTACTCATCAAAACAACATATTTTTCCATCGACGTGTCATGATATGTTGGATAAACGGCTCTAGTTGTACTTATATAGATACAACTCTATCCGAAATACACAGATGCGTGAAGAAGATGTCAACTTCGTCAGAAACGTTTTTTTCATAAAGGCGAGTCAATGTCTTGTTGCGATCCATCGAAACATCAAATGCTAGGTTCATCTACAGTCCACTAATACAACAACATGACCAGGAGGAGCTGCAGCAAGCATGCTGCACCCGCACGTCGTCAACGTTATTACTTTTCTGCTACACTGCAACAGCTGAGGCGTTTACATTCTTGTTTTTATGCAGCTCTTCGGTGCTATTTGCAGTTCGTTGTAGCAATTTTTCGTTTTCTGCATGTGCAGACCCTTGTCCATCTATCAGCATTATCCTGGCCCATTCTCGGATTCCAATTTCTCTTTCGCTTCCTGTGAAGGCATCTGACGTCCTCATCGTGCGAAGATTTGTAGCATCGTTCTTACGAACGTCGACGCCCCCTCCGATGAGTCGAATGCTGTCCTCTCTGGAGATTAGAAGAGTCGCGAGATGAGCACAAATCGTCCGAATCTGCGTCCTCCAATGCGGCTCTAGTAGTACATCGTCGTCCAACATTGGGTCTGCAATACGCTCTGTACCTGTAGCCGTAGTGTTTCTGCCTATTTCTTTGTCGTGAAGAAGCAGATGGGCCACCACTGCTCATCATGTCATGTGGGCCGCTAGTATCCTCTTGCCACCTCCATCTGCGTCGTGACGGGCAAGAAGAGACGCTTGAACTTGATGCCGGTCGTCTTCTGGATGCGCGGGTCGTAGATAGTCGGTAGTTTGTGCTAGAAATCCTGTTGTGCGAAGGCCTCGCCCTTGGAGATGCCCTGTCATCTCTGCTGGCCCTCGGTCGGTCCCATGACGTAGGTCGTCTGGATGATGGTCTTGGACTCGGTCGGCCTCTACCAGAATGCGTGTAGTTGTGGGGTCGATCACGATCGGTTGCGGTGTGTCTGGCTCTAAGAGGTGCGTTCCTGTCGTTCAGTCGCGACTTCCGCACTTTTTCCCGACTTCTCTCAGAGGAGCTACCACGCCTTCGACCCCAGTGCTTCTCGCGACTTCTCTCAGACGAACTAGAAGAAGTCGAGGGTGCACGACCATTTCCTCTTCTCCGACGAGGACGAGATGAATTTACCCTATCATAGCCTGTACTTTCCGTTGGCAATCTTCTAGTTGTCTTCGTTGCGGATCTTCTTTTACCTCTAGGAGTGGTATTCGCTGGCGATTTTCTTGATCGAGTGCAGCTACTACTAGATGAGGATGATGATGATGATGATGATGAAGAAGTATTGTTCTCTAACGACTTAGAGCAGGATGATCTCTTAGTACGGCTTCCTCTGGAAAAAGTTGGCCGTCGAGTTGTGCCCTGACCTGATACTGTTGAGGAATAATGCTGTGCCTTGTTTGTCTGGCGCACTAGCCCCTCACCGCTACGCTCCAGCCCACGACGAGTTCTTAGGCCGTTGTAAGACGTTCGTGAAGTCGTGCCTCCTATAATACGACCACTTCTAGAACCAGCAGGAGGTGTGCCAGCTGCAACCCTGTAGTTGTGATTTTCATCTTCATCACGACCTTCTAACCAGAGTGCACTACTTGTTGTACCAGCTTGATTCAGCAGATCTGCTGCAGGAGCTAATGTTTCTTCACCCGCAGGAACTTTGCTTTCGTCCTCCCCATTTCTGCGAAAGTCATTGTCCGGGTCGTAGGTCCAAGGACCATATTGCTGAAACCTCACGTCCCACTCGTATCCACATGTCCACCCTCGGTTTAGAGTCTGCTAGATTGCATCTCGGCCCCCTCATCTTGACCCCTTGCACCTTGTATTTCATGAGAATACAAGGGAAAAGGGTACCAAGATGCCGAGAAAGATGGAGAAAAGCTGCCCTTAATCGGTTCTCCCAATACCAATAGTATCGCATCATTTCATCATTCCTACCTGAATCTTCGTAATCTTGATCTTCGCCAGGACAATCGGAGATCTGAGGGTCTGTTCTACAAGGTTCGCGATCATTCTGATTTTCTCCATGAGATTCATTCTCTATGTCATCTAGGTGTTGTAGGTTCCTCGATGTCGAACTCGAATCGTAATCGGGGACATGGTTCCTCGACATCAAACTCGAATCATTATGATTCGTCGAGTAATAGAACCAAGGGATGTGCGGTAGCTCGGTACGGAGATCGCGACTTTCATCGTACCACCAAGGACCGTAGTGTCGGGATTCTTCGTCCCAGTAGTAGCCACAGTTAGAGGTACCGACAACCCATCTCTTGGAACATCTTTTAGCACTTTCCAGTTTGAAATTGGCTAAACGATGGCGTAAGAGATGGGTTGACGGTACCCATAACACAGGACCAGCCACGGGATTGCCAGTATTCGTAGTAGTCTTTGTCTTCTTCCAGCTCCAGCCAACTCCAAGGATTAGAAGGAGTTTCATCAAGCAGGACTTTCTATCAGAATCTTAGACAGAACTACGCCTCAATCTGGTTCCAGTTTCGGGAGGTCGCATACCTAACGTTTTTGTTAAAAAGCTACATGAAGCCTCTCTTGGCAGGACTAGTACATCCATATTCTAGTTTCCGAGTAAGGACCTGAAAACAGGTGAAAGACGTTCTAGAGATAGTTGACGTTCCAAGAAGCCATAAACGGCGTCTTTCCAGGGATGTCAGTGTATTCGTCGTTGTCGTAGGCGTGCCTGTTCCAGCTGTAGTACTCGAGAATAGCAAGCTTCCTCTCCTCTTCGCTGTTTCTGTGGTCCTCTAGATCCACCTCAACCTCTGAACATGGACGATCCACATCATTTTTAGAGCGCTCCCTGGAATCGTGTCTCGGTGCTTTTGGTAGTGTTTCCTCTGGTGCGTGCTCTGCCTCTAGTAGGGATGGTGCTTTCTCCATTCCATTTTGGGGAACTTGTGGTCGGCGCGAAGAAGACGAAGATGCTTTTTCGATATTGTTACGGAGTATTTGACTTGCCTCTATCCCCCTCTGCCCAACGCGACTTGCTACAGCGACATCTTCACCCTCAGCAACATCTACTACACTCTCCTCTTCTTCGCCAAACCGTCGACTCCTGATGGCGACATCATTAGCAGCTGAACCTTCATCTCGTTTCCGTAGGACGTCTTCGTAGCGTCTCAGATAGGCTATCATGCGTGGTGGACATGGGTCCGCTTCTGAGTCGTAGGGTCCCTCAATATCCTTGAACAAGGTGCCTGCTTTTCGCGCATTGCGAACAGCTCTGCGCTCAGCTCTTATCTGGCTAAGTGGCGTCTCCTGATACAACCAACGAAGTGTTTCGCGCTCTTCTTCGTCAGATGTGGAGCAAACCATTCGCTGTGGACGTTGTTTGTAAGGGCGAATCCGGTAACGACGAACTCGTCTAGTTCTACCTTCAGGTTGTTCGTCATCTTGGATTCTAGTACTTCCACGTTCGCCGTCTCGGATTCTACTACTACGGACACCAGCTTCGCCATCGCCTTCCGCATTCGATGTCCCAATACATTCACCTCCGTCTTCAGGCCTTTCATCAGTACTATCTCCCTCAGTTGCGCCGTCACGCTTTCCTCCGTCATCAGGCTTTCCTCCATCACCATCGGATGAATCGGATGGCTTTTCTCCGTCTTGAGGCTCTCCTCCGTCACCATCGCCCTTAGATGAATCGGATGGCTTTCCTCGATCACATTTAGAGGAATGGCTATTTCCTTCTCCACTACGGTGACCAGGCTTTCCTCCAGTGTCATTCTCAGATCCTCCACTACGGTGACCAGGCTTTCCTCCACTGTCATTCTCAGCATCAGGACCCGACGCACAGGAGGACGAATTAGTGCTATCAGATTCGTGCCTTCCATCTGACTCGAACCTTCTCCGCCTTCCAGCTCTGCGTCTATTCCTTTCTCGATATCTCGTGTGTTGAAAGCTGAGCCACTGGCCTTCATACAGGTCGACTCCGAACCCGATTCCGAAATAGTCGCTGACGTAGTCTAAGCTTCCTTCTGGCGGAAGGCCCGCCTCGGCGCGCTCTTCCTCCACCATCTCATCGTACTCTTCTAACATCATGTTGCGCACAGCTTCCTCTTGTGCGTGTTCAATGCACTCTTCGCGATAACGCCTTACGTGTTGGACAAAGCCGCTATTAGATGATGTTGAAGCCATTATTTTTCAGTCTAACACATATGATCCTCAGCCTTTTTTGCATTTGCTGCGCAGTTCCAGTTGTGCCACTAAATAACAATATCAGGTTGAGGATGGTAGTGAAGAAGAAGAATGTAATATTTAGGTTGAGGATGGTAGTCAAGGATGTAAGCAAGTTGTAACAACTCTTAACGTTAGATTCATCAGTGCTAGCAGACGAGATGTGAGACACAGAAACCGGGTTATGCGAAGACGATTCTGCTCCTATTTCTGGTTCTATGTGGTCATCGACGTATCTCGACGGTGCGGAAGACTCCGAGCAATGTTTGGGACAAGCAGCTCGACTAGAGGAAGTACTCTGGCTTCCACCCGCTGTTGTCCTAGGCCTCGCCGTGCCGTAACGACCCATTGTGAAAGCGCTAAACCCCTGCCCCAGCAGCTTGCTTGATGAAGTGCGATCCTCCTCCGCGTCACTTAGATCTGGAGATAGGAGACGCGGCAAATGACGTGTCCTCTCGTCTCGAAGAAGCAGACGCGCAGAAGAACAAGCACGCTCCGAGGAAGGACGAGGCTTTGGCGCAGATCGGCCACGGACAGGAGAGAGGAGGCTTCGCTCTGGAGAGAGAAGACTCTCTTGAGACAAAAAAAGACTACGGCGTCCTTGCGGTGAAGGAAACGAACTTTCTGATGACATTGACGAAAGGTTAACATGTTCTTTATCTTCAGATCCGGGCTCTTGTTCATCCGAAGATATTGGCGCAGGCTTCTTTGAATGAGAACATCGCAAATATTTCGGGGACCGGGGTGCTGATTCGAATGTCTCCTCAGGCGACGCGCCTCGGTCGTCCTCTCGGCGACTCAGATGACGCACTCGTTTAGTATTGTCTCTATGCCCTGCTCTAGTATTTGAAGGTCGAGTTTGAGTTTCTTTACTAGATGATCTCCCCTTGCTTTCATCTGATAAAGACGGGTGCGGACTGCGGCTCTCATCTCTGTCTTTCGTAAGCTTTCTAGAAGGAAGAGACATGAACGAAGAAGAAAACGCTGTTGGAAGAGGCTCTTGCATATTAGAGTTTCTCATATTCTCAAGCATCGATTGACCAGCTAGTGAAGGCGCATCATCGCTAAGAGCTCGAGGTGAAGGCCAAGAAGATGAAGGAAAAGACGATAATGATGCCGCCTCCAGCAGAGTATGCTTTTCACCGCCTTGTTCACTTGACGTCTCCGACTTGTCATCGCCGCCGTGTTCACTTGACGTCTGCGACTTGTCATCGCCGCCTTGTTCACTTGACGTCTCCGACATGTCATCATCCTGCCCACTTTCTCTCATCACACCTCCTAGGACCGACGGATCCACCAGCTCTGCCTTAGAAGGCGTTCTGGAACCAGCGTCGCTACGTAGTTCCTTGTCGGAGTGTTCTACAGCAGCCTGGACGTCTCGTCGTGCACCCTCGTGGTCGTGTGGTCGTGTATCCGTATAATACGCATCGAATACCTCCTCTGCTTGAGCAGTATTCTCGAAAAACGGAACCCGAGAACTACCTTCAAGACTATGAGGATTCTCAACTATCACGGGTGACGCAGCCGAAGAAGTTTCAGTCGCAGAAAGGCTGGGGATTGGCAACGTCAATCCCGCATAGCTCTGCGGAGAAACAACAACGAAAGACGATGAGGACGCTGTGAGGTCCGCTTCAGGTTCAGACTGATTCTCGCTGACACGAGGTGGAGTAGGAGTGCCAACATTTTCGAAACTACTTCTGGAAGACCTCTGTGAAGGTGTGTTGACATGATCACTTGCAGCAGGTTTGGAATCATGCGACTGGTCAACACGCTGAACCTGAATACTAGATGAAGAAGAACTACTCGTGCCAGGCATCTGTCCCTGGCTAGAAGTGCAACCGCCAGAAGTGGCAACTTCAGCGTCTTGTCCGATTTCCTGTTCATACCTGATTAGTCGTAGGTCGGGGAATACTTCTTCGAGCTTGATTTTGCTTCGAGCTTTTTTGCCATTTTCTTTCGGCGATTTTTTTTCCGGATGATAAGGTTCGTGCCGATTGCCGCTACTCGTCATCTTCACCGCTAGATCTCTACTATAGCCCACCCCACACCCTCCACCTCTTCCCTCGCTGTTCAAATAGCGGGTGCCTGTCTCCTCGCACACGACGTCGACAGCTGTCCGAGGGGGCCTACTCTGGAGTATAACAGGAGCTCTTCTCGCTTCTGCTCTTCCGTCAGCTGCAGAGTCTCCTGGGTTCTGCTCTTCCTGGTTCTGCTCTTCCCCCTCTTCTGCATCATCATCTCCAGAGTCAGTGTCACTACCTTCCTCGACATCATCATCTCCAGAGTCAGTAGCTTCTTCTGCCTCAACATCATCTTCGAAGCGACTCTCTGAATCTGCCTCCTCCTCTAAAAAGAAGGGAATATCCTCCGTCGAATTTTTGGACAATCGGTCTTGAGAAGTCTTCTCCTCATCAGCTTCGTCTACGTCACTCGGAGCACTCGGAGGTAGAGTGTTGTGCTCACCTTCAATAAACCGTGTGTCCAGTCCCTGATCTTCTTTTTCCTCTACATCCCGCACGAACCGTGTGTCCAGTGACGAAGTAGTCGGTAGTTGTAGGTGTCGAGGTTCTTCTTCAATGTCCTCTGATAAAACACCTCCTCGCGCAAGAACTTTTATGTGATCTTGATGTCCTTCGTCATGATGTTCTTCGTCATGTTCTTCGTCATGGCGTTTTTCGTCATGATGTTTTTCGTCATGATGTTCTTCGTCATGTTCTTCGCCATGATGTTCTTCGTCATCTTCTGCATCAGAGTCCTCACCTTCTTCAGAGTCCTCACCTTCTTCTGAGTCCTCACCTTCTTCGGGGTCCTCACCTCCTTCAGAGTCTTCACCTTCTTCAGAGTCCTCACCTTCTTCAGAGTCCTCACCTTCTTCGGGGTCCTCACCTCCTTCAAAGTCCTCACCTTCTTCAGAGTCCTCACCTTCTTCAGAGTCCTCACCTTCTTCGGGGTCCTCACCTCCTTCAAAGTCCTCACCTTCTTCAGAGTCCTCACCTTCTTCAGAGTCCTCACCTTCTTCGGGGTCCTCACCTCCTTCAAAGTCCTCACCTTCTTCAGAGTTCTCACCCCCCTCAAGGTCCTCACCTCCTTCAGAGTCCTCACCTTCTTCAGAGTCCTCACCCCCCTCAGAGTCCTCACCGTCTTCGGAGTCCTCACCTTCTTCGGAGTCCTCACCCCCTTCCGGGTCCTCACCTTCTTCGGAGTCCTCACCTTTTTCAGAGTCCTCACCCCCTTGAGGGTCCTCACCTTCTTCGGAGTTCTCACCCCCCTCAGGATCCTCAGCTCCTTCAGAGTCCTCGCCTTCTTCAGAGTCCTCACCCCCCTCAGGGTCCTGACCTTCTTCGAAGTCCTCACCTTCTTCGGAGTCCTCACCTTCTTCAGAGTCCTCACCTCCTTCAGAGTCCTCACCTTCTTCGGAGTCCTCACCTTTTTCAAAGTCCTCCCCTCCTTGAGAGTCCTCACCTTCTTCGGAGTCCTCACTCGCTCCTTCCTCCACACTATCAGCGTCGTGGCTATGTGCTCTTGCTCTAGTAGACCGTGCTCTTCCTTCAACAATATCAACGTCTTGCTCTGATATACTCTGGGTCTGAACTGCCTCGTCTTCTGCAGCTCCTACCTCCTGGCTTGCGGCGGAACCAGAGTGAGGGAGACCCAGATCAAGATTATTTCCGTTCCCGTCTCCAACGACACCGTTGCTGCTTATCAACATCGTAGCCCCGGCATCCGCCCAAGAGGATGTTCTTGGATCTTCAAACTGAGCTGCTACCTTGGAGGATGTTGCTTGTTCGTTGAGTGTTGCTTGCTCGTTGGACACACATGTTCTTGTAGCCTCTACGCGTACTTCGGTAGCAGTTGCAGGTGTTCCGGTTGGTTGTGGTGTCTCGTTGGACGATGATGCATCTACGGTTGCCGCTGTTCCTGTTCCGGTTAATACTTGACGTGTCCAAGACGTGCGTGAATGCCGTTCCCATAGTACTTCCCACTTCAGGCGTTCCTTGTACAGCCAACCAGCGTTCCTGTTGCTACGTGAATTAGAAGTGGTATGTGTAAGAAGATGTCCAAGATTTAGTGTTAGTAAATGGGATTTTAGTTCTTGCGGAGAACGAAGAGCAAGAGGGATAGAAACCTGAATTAACGGAGAAAACAAGGAGCAATGTAAGAAAGGACAACCTAAACTAGACGTTGCTAAATTAGTAAATTCTACTTCGTTTCTTCATGGTCGTATGAATCTACTGAAGTACTTACGATCACAAATTTCCATGTCAAGCACATCATATTGATTTTTTGCATCTGTGTCAACCTATGATCAAAATCAGGCATAAGTGAAGTTGACAGCATGAACCGGCGGCGCAGTTTGTCGCTGAGAGTCCCGACGATTCGACGTACCTGTGAAAACTTAGGATTGTCGCTATGCAGAGCTGCGGCCATGTTTTCCAGCATACTGCAGTAGTGCTCGAAGTACACACGTGGAAGATGCCACTTCTCGAGCTCGATCGAGTCCTCGTTAATATTCTGGCGCGCCCGAACTTGAAGATGCTGCTCATAGCGATAGCGCATAGCGTAGGCTCGCTGACCTGCGTCCATCGCTAGCACAGTGATTAGCTCGCGCTCACCTAAAAAGAGAGGGTGCTCGCGATCTCTCAATCTCTGGCACGCCAAACGCCTCATCTTCTTCAGCTTCGCACGCTCCACTTCGGAGGTTGATTCCTTCCTCACTTGCACGATAATTTTTTCGAACTCTGAGTCAAACAACCTCTGAGTCTCTGCATCAAACTCGTCGTCTGGAGGTGCGCCTGCATACGAGGTACCCTTTTGCGTACTAGGGTGTCGAAAGGTTAGGGCGAACTTGCGGCACAGCTGTCTTCTTCCCGCTACTCGCTTTCGTCTGCACAGGTAGAGACATCGCTGAATATCGCTGCGACGCAGTTCCCGAGAAGTTCTAGGATGAGGATACGCATCGTCTTTGTGGTTTTCTTCTGCGATTTCAGGACTTTGAAGGCCGATGCTTTGATGCAACTCGTGCTTGAGGTAGGCACGACAAGCACGCCACACCCTCTCACGCGTGACGCTGTTGCGGATTGCGGTCACACAGTACGGCATCATGATCTGCTGCAACGATGGCTCGTCTGCTGGTGCTTCTAAGATCTGCGCCATGCTCGTGATGCGCGTGGGCAGGAAGAGATGTTCCTCGCCGAACAAAGCATCCACTATCGGTACGCAGTCAGGAAAAACTTTTGTTGCTCTTGCACGCACACGCTTCGGCTGCTTTTGTCTCGTCTTACCACTCGTGGTACAACTCGCTCTTGCACGCTTCGGCTGCTCCTGTCTAGTCCTCATCTTACCACTCGTTGTACTACGCCGATCTGCTGCATCAAGTAATTTGACTATCCCTGGATTCATGTCCTGGTACTCGAGGAAGTCAGCCTCAACGATATTCGTTCGTATTGGCTCGTGACGCCCTCGTAGAGGAGTCACGGGGATAGAAAGTAGTTCATTACTTTGCTTGTCTGGTATCTCATACGGCACATTGATTTCCTTTTTCTTTCTTCTACATGGACGTTCATTGTCAGAAGAATCCTCCTCGTTGTCTGCATGGTTACAGCAATCACCTTGATCTACTCGAGAAGGCTCTCCTCCCTCTTTCTCTCCATCCTCGTTGTTGCTGCAGCCCGACGTCTCATCATTA